AGTACTTCCTTCAAGAAAGCAGAGACCAAACAACCAACAAGCAAGCAACACAGCTCCATCTGCCCTTCATTCCTTTTTCCTGTCCATATCATCCACATTTCCAAGGAGTTGTCATACTTCTTGACCTCCCACCTGCTCCTTGGCCACACAACTTTCAGCCCTCATATGCACGGCAGTCAGTTCCCAACGGGTCACATCCAGTTGGCTTCCCTACTTCCGCCTCCTTGGTGAGCTGACACTTCCAGCTCCTCTTCTCCCCTGGCTTCCCTGCCTCTCCTGGCTGTGTCCCTTGTGGCCTCCCTTCACTTGTCTCTGCCCAGTGCTGCTGTTCCCGGCTGCTGCCTGGTGCTCAGTGCTCTCCAGTGGCCAAGTCTTCTCGGGGGCAGCATCTACTCTGTGGTTCCCATCACTATCTGTATGGAGATTTCCAAACCTGCTGTCTAGCTCAGTCCTCCCTGTCTGGCCTCAGACCAGCTGCATTCTGGATGGTTCCACCTGGGTCACCCAGGGGAGTCACAAACCATCGCAGGGGCCCCTGTCTCTCCTTGCCTGGTACCTCCCGTGGTCACCCTAGACTCTAGCTCCTGACACCAGAACCTTGGATGGAGTGTAGACCCCTGCAAACTGCCCTCCTCCACGCAGCCCCTTTGCTCTGTTGCCTTGCCTCCCAGATGTTGCTCTGACAGACCCTCCCTCTGTTTCAACCACCATGGTCTTAATCTGATCCCAGCCCCTTCTCCAGGACTATCTCCACAGCCTCCTGCCCCAGCCACCCAAGTCTGTCCTCCATTTGCCACCATTGTGGCTCGGTCCATGGGATGATACCAAAGCCACTGTGTGTGGACTCCTTGCCGGGGGCTGGACACAGCGTTGTGCTCTTGTCCCATGGTGTTGAACATAATATCGCAGCGAGGTAGGCATTAGCTCTATTTGTGCAGATGAGCAAACTAGGGCTCACAGGGGTTCAGTGATGCGTCTCCAGGCGCCTCACTCAGGAGCTGGGTTTCAGGATCCCCTTCATATCCTGGTACCTTCCACGTGGTGGATCCATGCGCGGACTGCAGACTTCAATGGCAGCTGGAGCTGCCAGGAGGCCACCCGAGGACATCTAGGTTTCCCCCTCGGTCCATGGAGGCAGAGGTGGGTGAGGATGCACCTGTGTGGAAGATGAGGGAGGGTGGGCAGCTGCTCCTTACCCTCAGGGAGAGGACACAGCACACAGGAAATGTGTCCATTCATCTAGATCCTGCCTACAACTTGTGGCGAATCTTGGTTCAGGTGTTTATTTTCTGTGACTTTACCAGCGGCCAGGCTAAGGGTCTGTAAGTGCCGGTCAGCTCTAAGGCAGAGAGTGTGCGGGTGAGAGTACGTGGAGGCCATTTCTCCCCAGGGAAGGAAGAGGAAGATTCAGGCCTGACATCATTGAGCAACTACTATACACCAGCAAGGGCATCTATTATTTCTATCACTCATTCAATCCTAACAAAAGCCTCTGTTAGGGTTTCTTTTTCCCAGATGAAGACACTGAAACTCCGAACACCTGAATAACTTTCTCAGGTTACTCCAAGAGGGCCAAGGCAGGATTCCAACCCTGCCATATCTGATCCCAGGGGCCATGCTTTAGGGCTCAAGTTGGCCAGTCAGTGGTGCCTGTGCTTTGGGCTGGAAGGGGCTGGATGGGAGCCTCTCCATACAGTGCTTCAGTGGTGACATGTTTTGGGACTGGACGCTCTGCCACCTTCCCGCTCAGCCTGGGTCCCCTCCTTCCTTTCTCTATGGCCGGGGCCCGAGTATATGGTTCCCTCCGAAGTGACTGAGTTGTTGAGAAATCTGGCTACTGTGGTCCAAGCCCCTAAGGGGTCTTTTCATGGAGATGTGGGTAGCACCATGACGCAGCAGCAGAAGCCAGGAGTGCAGCTGCCCTGGGAGGGTGACAGGGGCTCTGCACGTGGGGACAGAGGCCCTGCCCTGCTCTCCTGCCTGCCCTTTCCGTCCCCTCTTCTGGGAGACCCCCGACCCCATGCCCTTCCTGTGCTTTCCTGTCTGCACTGTTCGCTTGGTGATGATTCTCTGCCATCTGTGCCGGGCCGACCTTCCCGCAGTGCTGGTGCTCAAGCCCTGGGCCCACATGTGCTAGGCAAGCCCTCTGCCACCGAGCTGCACACCTAGCCCTTTGTTTTATATTTTTTTTGAGACAAGGTCTTGCTAAGTTGCCCAGGCTGTCCTCCAATTTTGCAATCCTCCTGCCTCAGCCTCTTGAGTAGCTGGGATTACAGGTGTGCACCACCGTGCAGGGCTTGGGGGCTGACTTTTCTTGGAGGCCAGACTTAGCTTTGTTTCCTTTCTGCTTGAAAGCTGAGAAACTGAGTCCAATGGTGGAGGAGTTGGCAGTGCGAGGCCTGGAGGATGAGGGCGAATGTGGGTCACCAGGATCTGCAGGCTTGCGTAGCTCTCTGGGCCAGGGACAGTGACATCTTGGTGCCTGGAGCAAGGCAAGGCACAAGTGGGGCCTCAATGAACTAACTGTGCCTTGGGGAGGGTGTCTCGGGGGTCCACACTAAACCCCCAAACCCTGCGCACAGTCCTGATTCTGCCTTTTACATGGCACATGGATCTTGAGTGGCACCAGGCCCTGGTCTGAGCGCTTTTCTGGGGCAGTACCACTCCCGGCCCTCCCACAGGATGTACTTGCTTGTCCAGAAGCAGCCTTGGCCAACTCCTCCTCGGCCAGTTCCTAGAACGTCCTGTTCTGTAGACCCCCGAGGGCAGCAATGGCGAACCTTTCAGAGCTCTCAGTGATACAAACAAACAGCCCGCTGCACCATTCGTGCCATAGGTTCGCCACCACTGCCCTAAGGCCTGAGGGGCAGAGTTGCACTAGCAGGGACTCAGAGGGCTCTGCTTATGAGGTGCTTTGCAAACACTGGAGTGGGTCCAGGCTCCCTTCTGCCCTGATGGTGTCCCCAAGGCCCTAGGGAACTGGGGCTGCCTTAGCTTGCTGATGCGCTGTCTCGGAGAAAGTTGCGGGTGGCGGAAGCTTGTTCAGAAGGCCCATCGTAGCGTTGCAGCGCTGATGGCTGTGGAATCCTACACATCGCATCTGTAGGCAACTCTAAACTGTTCCTTCAGTCTCCTAGAGAGGGGGTACTGAGCCACACTCCAGCTCTAAATATTGCTTTTCGCTACAGGGGATCAAACTCAGGACCTCAGGCTTGCCAGGCAGGCCCTGTGCTGCTGAGCTACATCCCCTAAATATTGCTTTTCTACCTATAATTTTTCACATAAATTTTCATAGGATGTGTACGCTCTGGTCAGAGCTATGGGTGGCAGGTGAGACCTGTACCTCTCACTTTCCCCAAGGCCCTGGACTCCAGCTTATTGGCTTTAATTCACTGTGGAACGTTTCTACTGGGCCTGGCTCACCCCATGAGCCTCTTGCCCAGCTGGTTGGGCTGGGCGTTGGTTCCTGTGGAGTAGAATCTTCTGCCACCTTGCTTGGGAGCAGCACTGGGTCTCACAGATTTTCACAGCTGCTTTTGCTGCTGTGGCCAAAGCCTTTTTTCCCAGTAGTCACCGGACAGCAGGTTACCTGGGGACAATTCTCTTCAGTCAGATAACCCAAGTGGCTTGAGGTGCTAAGTGGGGAGCCTGGGCCAGGACTGGGCTGAGTGCAACCTGTTTGGCTGGAGGGTTGCTAGGTGCTGCTCTGTCTTCTGAGGCCAGGTGGGGCCGGGTCAGGCTGGCTTTCAAGGCAAAGACAGGTTTCTCAGTTCCTGAGTTGGAATTTGGTGCTCAACAAGAGGGAATTGATACAGTATTCTGACCTGTCCCCAGATGGTAGCTCAAGGCAGCTGCTTTCTGCATAGAAATTAGGAGATATGGCCTGGCTTCACCCTAATTTTACCATTGATCATCCCTGGCTGTCCACCTCCCATTTCGTCACCCTTATTTCAACAAAGAATTCATAAAATTGTGTGAAGTCGCAGAGACCTATGTCACAGGAAAATGGAGTCATGTCAAGGGCAAGAGCTCATGGCTGACCCTGAAGGCCTAAGAGAAGGTGGGAAGAGGCCTGGAGTGGTCAAGTCTGGGCAGCAGTACCAGAGATGCCTGAGAGGGCCAAAAGTGTGACTTGTTCAACAAGGTAAGAGGGCCAAGAACATGAGGATAGAGACAGACACAACCCAAAAGAAACCTGGAGAGCCAGTGTGTTACTCAGCTTTTGTTCCTGTGACAAAAGACCTGAAAAGACAACTTACAGGACGAAAACATGTTTTGGCTCACAGTTTCAGAGGGTTCAGTCCATGGTGAGCCGACTCTGTGTTCTTCAGCCTGAGATGAGACAGAACCTCATGGTGGAAGGATGTGGTGGAGGAGAGCTGCTCACTTCCTGGCAGGCAGGAAACAGAAAGAAAGAGAAAGAGAAGGGGCTGAGAAGGAAACAAAACCTTCAAAGGCACACTCCCCAGTGACCCACTTTCTCCTGGGTACCACCACCCGAGAGCCACTCAGCTCTGAACTCATCGATGGATCCGATTAGCCCACTGATCCAATTACCTCTCTAGGCCTCACCTGCACTGGGGACCAAGGCTTCAGTGCATAAATCTTTGGGGGACACTTCACATTTAAACCGTAACAGCTGGTTTCTGGGGATTCCCTGCCAAACACTCAAGTGATGAGCATAGAAGCTCATCATTCGCCATGAGCTTGCAGAGCAGCTGGTGGAGTGAAGGGCTTTTGAAGAAAACAGGAACTGGTAAAAAAGTGTTCAGAGTCCCACCTTCCCCGAGACCCCTAAAGGTGTCCATCTCCAAGTGACAAGGGATGGCAGGCTGGTGGGTTTCGCTGGCACTCTTCATCACGAAAGGTTAAGTGGCTAAGAGTGTCAAGACAGAGGTCCTTGGGCCCCGAGGCAGATTCCTCACTGCAGCACTGTGCTAGCTCCTGTGGGCTTTCCGAGTGGTGCTGGTTAACGTGTTTGTTGCTCATCTGTACCCCAGGTCCCTGGATGTCACAGGTCAGAACTCTCTGGACCTCCAAGGCCCTCGCTCAGGGCCCAGGCATCGCAGCTTCTTCCAGACAGGCTGGTGGGCGCCTTCTCTCTCCAGGGCATGGGCACCCGTGACGATGTCCCCCCAGGTAAGGGGCACTAGGGGGCCTGCTCCCTCCAACTTGACAGTGAGCCTCCTGTGGGTTCTCTGTCTGGGAGATGAGGCCCCGTGGCTGTGTCTTTTCATACCGCCCAGCTCTCGCCACCTGGACCCTGGGCCTCCTGCTTGGCAGGCTGTCTGGGCGGCTCTGGCACACGGGGCTCAGACTGTCCTGGGACTCACCCCAGCTTTGTGCTGAGTCTGAGGCAGAGTGGGCTGGCTCCTCAGGGCTGATGCTGCCCTGCAGCCGGGCAGGGGGTATGGGCTGGGCCTTTGGCAAAGGTAGATGAGCTATTTCCTTAGCTGCCTGGGTGGGGAGCAAGAACTCAATGCAGGGGATGGGGGGCCTGGTGCTGGTTCTGCCCTTGGGGAACCACCTCTGAGCCTCAGTTTCCTCTGAAAGCGAGGGGATTGGCCTTGCCCCAGGTAGACTGGATGCTTGTGAGGTCGGAGTTGTTTAACCCTGAAGGACCCAGGAAGGGGATCAGCTGAGCTTAGCAAGGAAAACAGAGAAGTAGGACAGTCAGAGCAGGGCAGCCTGGGGACAGGGCCGCATGCTCAGACAGATGCCCTGGGCTCTGACACAATGCTAGGAAAGTGGCTGACCACATCAGGCCTCCCCAGCATTACGCCTTCCTGGAGAAGTGACAGATGCTGAAGGCTCAAGGAAAATCTACAACTCTAGGACAGAATGAGGATGCTGTTTGAACCCGGCGTTGTTCAGCTGCTTTGCTTTATGCATGTAGGGACCGAGACTCCGGTTAGCTGATTTCCTCGAGGCCTCAGAGTGACAGAGGTGTGGTGCGTGCAGGGATGCAGGGCGTAGAGGGTCCCTAAAGGAGTGAGGCCTCGGCTGAGCCGAGACGCGCTGTTTCCCGGCCCTTGGAGGCTTCCCCCTTGGTCTCAGCCCAGGCACCCCTCCCCGGGGAACCCGTCACCTCCCCTGTCCCTGGCCAGGGCTCCCCGACCCCACTGCCATTGCTCACTCATCGCTGCCTCCTCCGCCGGCCTGTGAGTCTGCGTGAGGGCTGAGTCCGCTTTGCCCAGCCTGTATGTCAGCCACGGAGGCCCAGAGCCCCTGCCCAGCGCAGGCGGTAATGGATGCCTGGAGGGGACAAAGTGGGCCGTCAGAGGAGCCTGGGGATGGTGGAGGGGAGACAGGAGATCTGCAGGAAATGCTGCTGAGGAACCTGGGGCATGGCCAGGTCATGGGATGCTCTGCAATCAGGACATCAGGTCCTGATAGGGTGTTCTCTGAAGCAGGGCATGTGGGGTCCAGTGGAGATGCCAGGCACCGCTGGGCCAGGCCCTTGGTGCTCCGGGGTGGATGGTGTTCTCCACTGTGCCCTGTCCAGGCCTTAGGGGACTCCAAAGTGCAGTTCTCCTTGTCTGTCCCCAGCCGAGGGTCTGGCTCCAGTGGCCGTGTACTGTGGGAGTGTCCCTAGGACCAGTGCTGGGCCCTGCGCACCCCTGCCTGGAAGCATCAGCTCCTCTGTGCCAGCTAACAGCCCAGGTGAGATGTGCAGTCCTGGCCCAGTGGCTCGGCCACGCGAAGTGGCCTTTGAGGCCTCTGGCAGTGGTTGGGAGGCTCCTCCTGGCAGCTGCCCAGTCAGGGACACTGACCACAGGACGGAGCATGGGCCTCAGCCCCGTGGGGGAAATGAAGGGGTTGGGACGGATGCCCAGGGTGTTGTCACGCTACAGTGGGGGTTCTTCTTTGTTCTGTTTTGAGATGGGGTCTCGCTGTGTTACCCAGGCTGGCCTGGAACTCCTGCGCTCAAAGATTCTCCTGCTTCAGTGTGTGGGTGTTGATTTATTGTGGGCCCTGCTGCAAATGGCCTTTGGTTTTTCCACAGGTCCTTTCAGCTCTGTACTTCAGGGGATGAGGTTGCCCAGGGGGAGACACCAGGAATAGGGGGCTGGCTGTCCTGGGAACCTGGGGGAACCCCATTACCCCAGGAAGACAAGGCCCGGTGGAGGTCTCTGTGGGGTCTGCAACTCAGGGCCTGGGAGGGCACCAGGCACTGGGCGGCAGGAGATGGGCACTGCTAGTGTGACAGCCCTGCTGTGATGCTTTTCTTGACTCCACCCTCCCTCGCTTTGCCACCACCTCTGCTGCAGCTTCCAGCTGCAGACTGTCCTTTCGACAGCGCTTCGTCCTTACTTGGGTGGGGAGGGTTCTGGTTCTGGTTCCAGCTCCCTCACAGGCCTGTGGCTGGCCCGGAGTCCGGCTCTCCTTGTGCTGTGAGGCAGCTGCAGTCCAGTATCTGCAGCTCAGGCCCAGGGGTCTCAGGGCTCCCAGGGGCCACCAGGAAGGGCTGCAGGGTGCTGCAAGCTCCCCACCTGTGCCTTCCCCTGCTGCTCCGCAGTCTGCGGCTCCTCTGAGGTTGGACTGGTACCCGCCAGTCTTTCCCACCAGCCCCTCCTCTCTAAGCGTGATGAGCATGGCTTTTGTCACCCATGGGCATCTCGTGTTTGCCTCTCACTGCACCTCTTACTGTTGGGGAGACGGAAAGTCTCTCACTGACTGAGACTCACTTCTGTTCCTCCACCACCAGTGCTTGGCACCTCGGCACTGGCTGGATGAGTAACTGGGTGAACTCGTGTCTGTCTGCCTGTGGGCACGACTTGTTGCCAGCCACTAACTGCTGGGTCTGTGGTTGGGGCGCATCAGTGCGTGAGGGACCCGCATGAGTTTCCCGGAGGCAGGAGGCTGTGGTCTGGGCAGATGGGCCCTCCTTCCCGGGGGTTTATGGCCTCTCGTCTGCACTGTGATAGCACCACGTACCGATTCCCCTTCTGTTCCCCGCGAGCCCTGTGACACGGGTCTGGCTCAGGCGAGGTGCCTCATAGACACTGCGGGATGTATAAATTGGCCCCAGGAAGGACAGGGGCTCTGAGTGACCATGCCCAGTAAGCAATACCAATGAGTTTGCCAGCACCCTGCGCCCTATGTGCCGGGCGACTCATATCTCTGTCCCCCTCAGCCTCCGACCAGCCTGTGCCAAGTGTCCTGCGGGGCCACGAGAAGCCAGCACAGCTCTCGAGTGGATGTGGGGACTCAGGCAGCATCATAGTGGGTGCCCCTCTGAAGGGCTGGCAGGCCAGGAATGGGCACCCCAGGGACCTTGGAGCTCTGTCTTTGGGACTTCTCCCCCGGGTGTCTGTCAGCTTGCTGGAGTCAGAGGCCAACAGCGCGGCCAGAGACACCACCCAGATCAAGGACAAACTCAAGAAGAGGAGGCTCTCGGAGGGCATGGCAGCATCTTTGCGAGGTGAGCCCTGGTCCCTGCCAGCTGCCCTCCCTCCACCCCAAGGTCAGGGCCCTTGGCCCCTGGGTTGTGAGGGTCAGCAGGTGTCGCAGTGCCTGGCTGGCGCTGGTCACTGTGTACCTGCCCTGGGGGTGCTGCAGGATGGGATGGAGGGGCACTGGAGGGGCCCGCTGGGTGCATAAAGGATTAGCCTAAGGCCGGAGCGTGGTGATCTGCCTTTCAGGCTGTTAGAAGTGTCCAGGCAGCTGCACTGCATTAACTACAAAGGGAGGGGAACAGAAGGAATTGCTTGACACCCGTCCTAGGCCAGGCGCTGGCCTGGTATTTTATAAGGGGGGGTCAGCGAGTCCTTGTGAATAGCCCATTTCACCAGTGGCATCAGGGACACAGTGACTTGCCCAAAGTCACACGAGCTTCTTTCTGGGGCCGAACTTGCTGTCCTCAGTCCTAACTGAGAACTGGTTTGGTTCCCCTTCCTTCCCACACTGCCCCTGAATTGTAAATGGGTGGCTGTGATGGAACAAGGACACTCAGCCCCATTGGTCTCTGCTGGGGGTGGGGTCGGGGCAGGCCTGCCCTCCCCAGAACATCACGCTCACTCGGTGTGGCCAAGCCACTCTGCATTCCCTCAGGCTAACTCATCCCTTCTCCCCGGTGCAGCCTCTCTGGATCCCGGGGGAGGCCCCCGCGGAGCCCCTCTGCGGAGCACCGTGCCCCGCACCACTTCCCAGAGGCTGCTGAGGGTGCCCAGGCCGATGCCCCCCATCCAGAGCATCCCTACCACCCCTGAGGCCAGTGGAGCCAAGGAGAAGGGCCTGGACCCCCCCGGGAGCGGGCAGGGGGCCCAGGAGCTGAGAGCTGGTGCTCAGGAGGTAAGGTGGTTCCACGGTCTTGCCCGCAGCTGTCCTCTGTCTTTCCATCCTCTACAAACCCCTGCTTGCACTCTGAGCATCGCTGCAGGTGTCCTGCATGCCCCTCTCAGGATGACAGTGACGTTGGAAGAGGCCTCATTTCATTGCCCCCCCCCCCGCCCCCCGCCCAGCATCGGAAGCCCGCATGACCCCTGTCCTAGAGTCTGCAGTCCCCGGGGCTTCTTCTGTCTTAACATGCTAAGATCCTCCTCTCTTCTGGCCCTCTCCTTTTAATTCAGGGAGGGTGGCAGAGGGGAAGAAAGCTACGCTGAGGCAGGCGGAGTTTGGGCTCTGCCCTCAGGGCGGTGCGGGGTGGCCCTCCTTGGGTTTGAGTTTGCCCATCTATTAAAAAGTAGAGGTTTGGACCAGATGTTTCTGAGAGTCCTTCCGGCTCTGATGTTCTAGGCTGTTTCTGAAACGAGAAGAACAAAAAGCCCAAATAGTAATAATAACAAGAAAGCTTGCCAGGCTTCTCAGCTGGAGTGGTATGGAGACAGTGAGCTTTCTGGGGGTCCCTGTGTGGCTAAAAGGGACCCCCTCACACTTGGCCCCAGCCTGTGTGAGGGGCTCGGAGCTGAGCATCCAGAGTAGGGGGCTTCCATGGACCAGACCCCTCCACTCCCAGGTGCAGATCTCCCCACAATACCTGCACTGCAATGATGAGAAGATGCAGAAGAGCCTGGGAGGCATCGTGATCCCCCCGATTCCGAAGGCAGGGGTGTCCGTGGGGACCTCTCCCCGCAGGCCTGGCCCCCTTCCCAGTCCCTCGGCTCCAGGCCAGGACATCCTCACAGGAACAAGGCCCCTCCACACACGGTAAGAGCCCCAGCCAAGCCTTGCAGTGCTCTCTCCCTCCACCCCCAGGGCCCACCGGGGCTCCTCACGGCCAACCCTCCGTGCCTTGCGGGGGCTCAGCTCTGGGGTCACAGCAAGTGGGAGGCAGAGGGGGAGGCCACGGCACTGTTGCTGGGGAGTCTCTGGTCGTGGGCTCCAGCAGGCTGGGTGTGACGTTACAGCGTCTTTCCTTCATGTCTGGTCGCTGTGATGATAATGAAACACAAATTATTTTGGAGTACAACTGAATGCATGGGAGCTCTCTGTTGTTATGTAATTTCTTAATTGTTGGATACTAAAAGCATAACAGTTATTGTGTTGGACTTTGGGCTTAAGGTGTCTTCACACCCTGAAAGGCAGGGATTCAGTGGGGTAAGGGATCCTCTCGCTGCAATGAGTCTGGTTTATGGCTCGTCAGCAGGGTAGACAGCATGCCCTAGGCAGGCAACACATCCCTGTGGTCAATGTAAACCGACACCAGAGCAAGTGGGTGTGCGAGTACATGTGTGTCTGTGAGCGTGTGCCTGTGCGCAGTATACGTGTGCGCTGAGAAATGCCTGCGTGAGCGTGTCTGTGCGTGCCCTGTCGATGTGGATACTGCACGTGTCTGAGTGCAGGCGTGTGTGCGCGTGTGAGTGTGAGTGTGTGCACACAGCCCATGGGCGTGCCTCCCCAGTCACAACTGAGTTCCTGCTGTGACTTCCCGCTCCCCCACTTTTTCAGCCTGGTGTTCTGAATTCTCCCTCACTCACCTCCTGTCTGTCTTCTCTTCTGTCCGTACTCCTGTTCCTCCATTTCTGCAGTCCTGGTGGGGTGTGGTCCCCTGTCCACTGCCTGCTCCCAGAAGTGAGTTCTCCACTTGATTCACCATCAGCCTCCTCAGGCTGTGGCCTGCTCCATTGCCCACCCCCCATCGGACATGTCCTTCCCTGCTCAGACGTTTGCCTCTTCCTCGCTCTGCACAGTACTATCAGTGGTAGCAATGACTCTTTGGTTTTTTCTCTCACCTCATTACTCTTGACTTTCTTTTGACTCTTTGGATCATTGATGGCCCTGGAACTTTGCTCCTTCCTTGCCTTCCTGATGTTGTACTAGCTCTTCGTCTTCCAGAGGGTCTCCTGCATGTCCCCTTTCACCCATTGTTGAGCCTGGCTATTCCTGCACTGCGTTCCAGGGCCTGCCTTATTTTCTCCTGAGGCTCTCATCAGTGCGTGTGGCCTCCAGGGTCACACGGTCTGGGTGGCTTTGTGTCTCCTGCCCTGGCCCTGACATCTTTCCAGAGGTCTCCCCCGAGGAGCTGGGTATTTCCAGTTCCCGTTCCTCATGACTGATACAAATGAGCATGGGGGGGGGGTGCGAAGTGTGATGGCCAGAGGGGCCCAGGACCAGCCCCTCCCGGGCCCTCTGGATTCCACCAAGGTGCGGGCTTGCGTCTTGGTCTCCAGCTCTCAGCAGCTCTGGGACTCTTCCTCCCGGTGCTTTCTGTTGCGGACTGCCACGTCCCCTCAAGTCTTTCCTGCAACAGCGACAACAAAGGGAAGCTCCACCTGGACTTGCCCACGGGCCTTTCCTCTCACCTGCTGGCTCCTTCTTACTCCCCAACCACTCCCAATCTGCCCTCTGCACCCTTTGCTCCCTGTTCCCACCTCCACCCCCATACAGCTCTCTTACGTGCCTTTATGGACCTCTGCTGCCTTTAAGATGGTTTTCCTTGGTCGGGACTTCGGGGAGTGCTCTCTCCTCCAGCTTTTCCTCCTGTGCTGCACTGTGGAGCTTCACCCCTCTGTGCCTGTGCTGTCTGCAGAATGGGAGCCTTGTGTCCCCAGATGGCGCTGCCCTTTCCCATTTCTGCTGCCCCACACCTCTCTTCTACTCCCTGCTGCACCCACGCCACCTCTACCGTTCCATGTCCATCTCCTTTCATTATTTTATTTAAATATCAAGCATTTGCTATGTAAATATATTTTGTGTTTTTCATATTTGCATATTTTGTCTCATTTAAACCTCATTCTGTTCTTTAACTTGGAGCATGGTGGCGCAGGGACCCCATCTCAAAAGTTTCTGCGGCTCTCATGATGCCTTTGTCCCTGGCATGGATTCTTCTTCTTTTTTTTGGTACCAGGGTTCGAACTCAGGTCCTTGCGCTTGCGAGGCATGCGGCAGAACCCCTGAGCTAAATCCCTGGCCCTGGAATATTATTATTTTTTGTTTTGCTTTTTGCTATTTGAGACAGGCTGTTGCTATGTAGTTCAGGCTGGCCTCAAACTCACAGTAATCCTCCTGTTTCAGCCTCTCATGTTCTGGGATAACAGGTGTGCCCCATCATACACTGGCCTCTGGCATGGATTAGTTACATAATAAATATCTGCCCCATGCTGTTGGGTTGGCACTGGGATTTCTTGTCATGAGCTCTGTGAGTCTCTCCAGCAAATGGATGGGAAGGAGACTCCACTTCCACTTCATTCATTCACCCATCCACCCTTTTACTGTGTGGGCCATTAAGCACTGACTCAGAACCAAAGATGAGTGGGATGGAGTAAGTGCACTTCAGAGAGAGATTCATTGAGTGCAAGTCCAGAGAGGTGGGAGTGAAGCTGCCTCTCCTATTGGGAAGCCCAGCAGGAAATGATTCTGAGTCCTGCTGGGAAGACTTCTTGGGGGAATTTTGAAGGTTGAGGGAGAGTTTGTGAGATGGAGGAGGGAGACCCAAGGAGGCGAGACTGAGGTGCCTAGGGTGCTGCAGGGTGTGAACGAGGGGTGTGCCCCTGCACTTGTGAGACAGGCTTTGCGTGAGCAGGGCTGAAGGGCCCCACGTGTTCAGCTGGTGGGCATGAGCTCTGTCCCAGAGGGCTGAGGTGTGTGGAGGGGATGTAAACTGCTTTCAAAAGGCCATTCTGGTCACCACAGAGTGGTGTGGCAGTGCATGCTGGGATGGGGCTGTGGCCGGAACTGGGGGGAGAAGCCACAGGCGCCTGAAGAGGGCAGCGCATGGCTGGGTCTGCAGGTGCAAGGGCAGGCAAGGGAGGGAGGGTGGGCGGCCTGAGTGTGGGTCGGAGAGAGGAGCAAAGCCCTGCATCGGACGGGTGCTGGGATCCCACAGGGAGGCAGGGAAGGGGAGGAGACTGCAGCTGGGCCCAGTGGGGAGGCTGCCCTTGGGGGGGCTCAGCTCATGGCGGCCTGGGACCTGCCTCACCATGGTGTGTGGCCTAGGCTCGGTGGGGAGGGGAAGAGCAGCGTGGCAGAAGGGAGAAGGAGGCAGGACACTGCGTGTTGAGGAACCTTGATGGGCAGGGTCTATCTTGGCTTCAGTCCTTCTGCTATGGGGTCTCTAGGAAGGAGAAGGTGAAAGAAGCAGAGCCAGGTCCTCTGAGACCAAATCCCTCCCTCAGAATGGGAGGAAAAGCAGCCTTACCCTGACAGCCCCAGCGGGTCCTGAAGCCTACGAACTTGCCTGATGAGTAGGGAAATCCTATTGGGTACCACCCAGCTGGCTGCCCTGGGACTCTAACCTCCATGAGAGCAAGCATCGCGGTCTGTCATCTGGATGCTCGATTGCCAGTGTCTGAACAGTGTTTGGCACATAGTAGCAGTTCAGCAATCATCTGGCGCATAGTAGCTCTTCAGTAAACATCTACTGAATGAGTAAGTGGTGCTTTCCCTTTAAAACATGACAAGCAAAACTAGTGTCAGGAATGTTCGCACCTTCCCTTCCTGTGGCTGATCAAGTTTGAATTCCTAGTATGAGCAAACAATGGCGATTTTGTCCCAGCAGAAGGCCCAATCCCTTCTGATTCCCGTGAAGGTGAAGGAAGGCAGAGGGAGGAGGCATATTCAGGGCCACTGAGCTCTCCTGGGTAGGGTGTTTACAGGACTCGAGCTCTGAGCACGGGGACAATTTACCCTCCTCCGTGCAGCTGCTGCCCTGCTGCCTGTGGCCCAGGAAGCCCCTGGCAGCCCCCAGTCACCTCTGCCTACTGCCTCTCACGCTGCTTCTTCCCCCCTTTCTTTTAAGACTGCTCCAGGAGAGTGGGCTGCGAGAGAAGACCCCTAAATCTCCAGGTACGTATTCTCTGCAAGCAGCGCCCCACCCTTGTTCTTGACTCTTCTGCCCTGGGCAGGGCTATGGGATGGAACCCGAGGGTGCTCGTGTGCGAGCCTCACTTCACAGACAGGGAAGCTGAGGTCACCTGCGGCCCCACGTTGCAGGGGGGCAGGAAAGAAGCAGTGGCGGTGGCACCAGCTCTGCCAGGCAAGGGACACAGTGGCTCACGTAGCTTGTGCAGGCCAAGACAGGAGAGACCACGCTGTCCTGTGTGACGGATGAAGGATGGCTAGGCCCGGGCAGGGCCACATTATCCCTGTTCCCTGTTGCACTCGCCCTGGGCACTGCACACCGACGCTGCGGCCCTGTGCTCTGTTTTCGCACTGGACAGAGTGAGCAGTTAAACCACATCCCACAAAGCCTTCGGTCCGCGGGCCCCAGGGAGTCCGTCGGGGGAACAGACCAGCTCCAGGATGAGGGTGAGGAAGGGCGGAGCAGGAGGCGGTCAGAGCAGGGAGGAGGCAGGCGGGGCCAGGGGCCTGTGGTAGGGGCCTGAGGACCTGGTTCTGTGGACAGGGACGGGAGGAGGCCACGCAGCTCCCCCTGCAGGCTGGGCCCGGGAAGCGCCTGAGCCCTGGGAATCACGGCAGCTGCAGCTTCGGTGCTGACCCGCAGGAGGTGACCGGCTCCCGGCAGGTCCTTGCTAATCAGCTCCGCAAGTGTGTCACTGTCCAGCCAGCAGCAGGCTGCTCCCCAAGAAGGATCAGGATATGGAGCTGGGCTGTGCAGTGGCAGCCCCTTCTCCCCTGCTCTCTGGCGGGCTGTGGTGGGGTGACCCCAGGTGACACATGAGCTACCCTTGGGCCAGGAGACCCCATCACTGGGGGCCTTGGAAGGCTGCTCAGACGGGCTTTCCTGGGTGTCTTGGGGGTGTAGGTAAGGATGTGAGTTACAAGATAGCAAAGTCCTTAGAGGACTGTCTCTGACCTCCATCCAGCCTGCCCCCCGGAGGTGACATTGTACAGTATGTGTTACACGCCAAGCACACAGTTACCCGCAGCCCAGGGGACTCCAGACCTTGTGGCATTCCTGCAGACCTCACGCTGGCCACTTGGCCCTCTGCCCTGCCCTTCACTTCTGAGTCCTTTTCCCCTTGGCCCTGACCCTTCTCCCTGCCCCAAGCAGAGGGACCCTTTGCAGAAGGTGGAGGAGCAGGTAAGCAGAGCGCCAGACAGAAGCCCCTGGCTCAAGATGCCCTCTGAAGTTGGGGACAGCCCCACATGGTGGCCGCCACCCTAGGGGACCCCTGCTCTGCGGGTTCTCTCAAGGACAGTGAGCTTGAAACCTGGAGTCCAGGAGGAAATTAAGGAACCCATTCCTGCCCTGACTCCATAATAATAAATATACTTTAAATCCACTGATTGGGAATATACAGAGGGACAAAAAGATACTCTATGGATTTGATGAGTTTTGGGGGTGAATTTGTATTTTATCAATCACAAGGGTATCTGAAGGTTGTAGGGGCTCGGCTTTCCCATCTGTGAGCTGAGAGGATTGGACTAGCATTAGTTAGTTCTCTGGCCCCTTCCAGCTCTGCTCTACAGATATAAAATGGTCGTCTTGTTTCTCTTCCTGACCCTGTTTCCTGCTCAGCCCTCATCATAGAGTAAGGTGCCCCGTACTCGCAGAATGAATGAATGAAGGAAAAAATGAATAAATGAATGAATGGGGGATGACACGGTCTCCCAGCATCCTTTGCAAAGCCGCTCTGTAGAGTGAATCTGACTTGCTCTCTCACGGAAGTGTTGGTCAGGAGAATGGAGGCTGGAGGACTCGGGCACATCAGCCACGGGTGTCCTCAACTCCATCTCTGCTTCTGACTCCTCAGAGCCCAAACCTTTGGCCCCACTCATGAGGGAGGGGTCTGCCACTGCTGCCTCCAAGAAGCCCCTGGCCTCCTCACAGTCTGCTCCCGTGCTGACAGCCTTCTCCTTGAGCCATGCCGAAGAAGACCACACCTTGGTGAAAGAAGAAGACCAGAAGGAATCCGGCACCAAGGTACCTGAGCGGTGAGAGGAGGAGGAAATCAGGCGCAAGTGGACCACCAGTGGATTGGAAGCAAGTGTGGGAGACAGATGGGAGACAGCAGAGGCCTGCAGAGCTGAGGGCTGGGAGCTGTCCCCAGGTCTGCCTGAGGGCTGAGGAAACAAGGTCAGGGCGAGGTGGGCGCAGACTGGGGGAAGGGAAAGGTACAGAGGGCTGCTGAGGGGCAGAGGTCGGGGAGAAGGCCAGAGGAGGTCACTTGTGGGCCAGGAGGAAGCAGGATGTAAGGGAGAGGACGGAGGGCTTAAGTGAGCCAAGCTGAGTAATCTGAACCAACCCCCAGTATAGCAGCAGAGAGGCAGCTGACTCAGGCAGACGGGCCAGGGGCCGTGCTGGACCTGCTCCCGAATTCCTTGCACTTGTAAGGTGACCTTGGGGAGGTGCCTTCCCTTCCCTGGTTGGGATGAGTTTAGTAAAACTGGACAGCGGGGCTTATTCTTTGACACAGAGATAGAACAGTTCAGCCCAGTGAAATACCTAGCAGGCCTGCTCCGTGCATGTCCTGGGTGAGAGGCGGGACCCTGTGACCACCATGATGAAGGCCCACTGTCCTGATAATTCCGGGCATCGAAACGACTCCATCCCCTGTGGCGCCTGGGCAGCTCACGCTTGGCCATTCCACCGACTGCCTGCTACAAATCATTTCCCTCCACAGCAGCCCCGTTCTGAAGGTCCCCACCCCTCCCGTCATTCTGACTCAGTCTACCCAGTGCTCCAACCCCAGCGTCTGTGTGCTTTCCTGCACCAACAACATGCTCCTTGAGATTGGATCGTGCTTCACATATTGCTTTTTTCATCTTAAGCGTGTGGCAAAAGCAAAACAAAGCTATTGCACCTGTATCTCTCCCCGTCTCTCCCAAGCGCCCCCCAGCCGGCTGAGTCCCTACCACCCCACTGAGTCCCCACTGCCCACACCCAGGTCACCACTCCTGGCACAGCCACATCTCAGTTCTTCCTTGTCCCAGGGGCAGCTCTGACTCAGCTCGGGGTGTGTCCCCCGGAGTTCTCCATGCAGGGATGGAGGTTCTCTGCCTCCGTGACAGGCAGCTTCTTCCCCTCTTTCTTGCTGGCTCCTCCAGATGCCGAGGACCTGGGGGTCGATCCTCTGGGCCCTGGTTCGTCACCTCCCCCGAGGGCCTGCTCTGTGCTGAGGATCCCCGGACTCCCCTGACAGCTCACACCTTCTCCCGGCCTCCACACTCCCTTACTTAGTTGCCGCTCAACATCTCCACTCAGCTCCCTCGCTGTATTTCAAACCCGCCTGGCCTAAAACTCAGCTGAGTCCTCCCTGTCTCCGATGTCCCTGCTCACTGACTGATCAGCAGCGAAAGGCAGCCCTGCCTTCTGGTCACGCGGCCCCCAGGCCCAGCCCATCCTGATCCCATTCTCTCCCCCACACCTCAAGGATCAGCAAAGATGGGTCCGCTGTCCCCAACCCTCTGTCGTCCCAGGGCCCTCACCTCTTGCTTGAGTGTTCAGTTGTCTTCTGACTGCTACTCCTGCTCGACCTCGCAGCAGCCAGCCTGATCCCTGGGGCATGGAAGCCAGCGACTTTGTGGCTGTAAAGACAACACTGTTGTGGGAGGCACAGGAGCTCTTGGTCCTGTTTCCATACGTTCTATGAGGCTCAAAGCATTTCAAATAAAAAGCAATGAGAAATGATCCTCAGTGAAGCCACTACCCCCAAATGGAAGTCACTTCATCGTCCCAACCTTGTGTCCTATCCCTGCTCTGACTCACATTGCTCTGGCCAGTGTCCTTGCCACAGTCCCTGCCCACGCAGGCACACTGGCCTCAGGGCCTTTGCACACGCTAGGCTAAGAACACTTCTTCCTTGGAAACTACATGGCTCACTCTCTCCCTTCATTTATGTTTCCACTTAAATTTCCCCTCTGCAGGAGTCTCTCTCTGGGCTTTCTTTATCTAAAGCAAAGGCTACCATCGCATCTATCCCCTTACTTTTAACACACTTTCTGACATTAGAGATTGGTCTGTTTATTGTCTGTCTTCTCATCTTACGCAGCTCTTGGGCGGGGGGCAGGACTTCATCTTTTTTGTGTCCTCCCAGAACAGTGACTGGCACAGGGAGGCACTCACAGTTTTGATGATTGAATGAATGAAGGTGTAGAAAGCGCCGCTGGACCCCCAGGCTAATGGAGTTTGCTTTGACCTTGTGCCAGTTCCAAGTCACCATCTCCAGGTCTGCCCAGGAGAAGATGCGGCTGAAGCAGATGAAGGAGATGGAGTCGCTCCAGAGGGCGAAGGAACCAGAGAGGGAGTGGGCGCTCGCTCCCCAGGGCCTGGGCTCCAGGAGAACCTTCGTGAAGGAAGGTACTGGGGGCAGGGGGCGGGAGTCCCTCAGGCAGGGGAAGCTTCTCGGCCCACTCCTGGGTGCGCAGCCTGGCAAAGGAGGGGCCCGTCTGCAGCTTCCCACACCCGCCCCTTCTGCCCAGCCAGGGAGCCATGTGCACTGTCTCTGAGCCCACCGATAGGCCCATTTCCACAGGGGACACTGCGGCCAGTCCTAACCCTGCTCTGCCTCCACAGGTCTCCTTCCCCTCCGGGGCAGTGGGACGCAGTCTATGCCCAGCAGGCTGAGCAGCCCCTGCAGAAACAGCAGCGGCATCCCCCTGAGGAAGCGGGCCAACCGGTCTTCTCTACCCAGCATCCCTGTCGGCAAGCAGGAGCCCAGCTTTGCCCGCCACGCGTCAGGTGGGCCCAGACCTCTGCCTGTGTGGCCTTGGGATGCTCCTCTCACGGCCGGGGGACCTCGGCCGCTCTGCCTAGGCCCATTGCCCATGTTAGACTAGGGGGAAAGCTGGGGGCGCTGGCACCTTGGCAGAGAGAGAAGCCGCCTCTGGGACCCATAATTGTCTGTGGGCCAGGCTGCAGACCATGGCACCACATCTGGGCTAGTGGATGGCTAGGCAGGGGTGCCACTGGTGTGACTTGTCCTACAGGAGTCACTAGGGTCCCAGAACCAAAGGCGCTGGCAAGCAGCATCCAAGGAAGTAACTGTAAACACCAGGGGAAGAAAGAGAGGATTCTGGGAAGCCCTGGATGCCTGCTTATTGCTTTGTGCTGTCAGGGCTCCCCAGAGCTGGGTATAGACTGGGAGAGGTGCCAAGGGACAAGGGGAGGCTCTGTCCTTCATCTACCAGAGGAGCTTCTATTTTGCTTCTTTTTTTTTGTTTTTTGTATTTGAGAGCTTTCATTTGAAAAGGTTTCGTTACTAAAACACATTTGAATATAATCGATAATCGATCTGGTCCAGAGTTTCCCTTAGTATGGGAAGTGGTAGACAATGATGGTAGACTCAGGGATAATTTGGGTGCTATACATAATAGGGACTCATCTCTTTTTTCAATTCTGTCTTTTTGATTGTGTCAAATAGTGTTTCTCTTTTTTAACGAAGTGACCTTCCTGCAGGCTTGAAGATGTCAGAAGCTGGCTGTAATTTTATAGCTGGAGTTTTAAATACTTACTTTTATTGTAAATACCATGTTCAGTGTGGTACTTAAAATCCCTTTAAAATAAATTTATTCAGGATTTGCAAAGAGGTTGGATTTAAAGTACAAAGTCAGTAACTTACAGATAGGAGTATGGCAGAAAGATCATGAAAATGGTAACTGAATGATTGATACTGGGAAATATTGGTCCATCCAACCCAATCCCCTCACTTTATCAAGAGCAGAACTGAAACTCAGAGACTCAAGGTCAGCCAAAGTCACCCAAAGTGATGGTGGCCCACAGGACTGAGACCTTGGCGGATGACCCTCGCGCAGCATGGTCTGTTATTGCCTTGTGTGTGTTTGTGTTGGTGAGTAAGGTCTGTGAGTAGGTTGGGCTGTTGGAGTTGAGAAGAAAAGCCAGCACTTTCCTCCTACGAACTCCTTGGACACTGACTTTGAACCCTTCCCTCATTCCTCTTCCTCTCTCCTGACAGTCTAGAATCACCTTATATTGCTTCCTAGTTTGCACTCACATCTACTCTTTCTTCTGGCTGGAAATGATAGAATTTCAGGACTGTGAGCTTGGGTGTACTCCTGATTTTCTACTAACGTCTAGCCTTATTCAGGGAGCAGATGGCTTCAGGGGAGGTCTGCTGTGTCTACTAAATGCTTTCTTTCACATGTGCCAAGAATGGAAATTCCTGGACCTCAAGGCAGATGTATGGACATTAATGAGAAGCTGTCAGGGTAGGGGTAGGCATAGATAAAGTCAACAGAATCCCTAAGAGCCTAGAGGCTGGAGTGGCCCAGCAGGGGCCTTTCATGTATTTGTTTGAACATCTAGGTGGATGCTCAGCGCCACTGGAGGATGAGGTGGAGGCAGGATGGGCAGTAGGAGGCTAGCACATGTGTTCCGCTGAGCAGACCCGTGCTTTGGCAGCCTCCCAGACAGCGTAGTTTGTGTCATGTTGTCCAGGAAGGATGGGAGGTTGGCTGTTACCTCTTGATGCTAGAAGGTGATGAAGGACTGATCAAGGGACCATTTCACATGCTAATGGCAGAGCTGAGATGAGCATGGGGAAGGAGGGCTTGGTGCCTTGGCTTTAAGTAAAGGGTTGCCTCTCCACCTAGATTTGCCCAAGACCTCCTGAATGTGTGTAGGGAAAGTCATCCCCAGGGAGGTGGACCTCTGAGAACAACCAGCCAGGAAGGGCAACGTGGTAGTGGGAGCTCTGGTCTGGAGGAGGCCTCCCTTCCTTGCTGTGTGCTAGAGGATCTTAGGGGTGATGGTGGGTCCCTCAGCCTCCCAGTCTCCACTACCTCAGTGTGCTTAGGGCCTCTGCAGTTCCTTCCTCTTCTCAGGATTTAGGCTTCTAGTGTCTGCGCCACAAGGAAGGAGAGACTAGAAAACAGGCCCCGGTATTGAATCACTTTCTTGCCTGATATCAATCCCTGCAAGGGTGGCCCTATCTTGACCCTATATTGTCTCCTTGGTGCTTTTACTGTCCCTGCCTTCCTCCAGCCAGCTGTCCATTTTCCTGTTCAGGCCGCCTCACAGGACGGTGGATGGAGGAGGGCAGGAGCAGAGGCTCTGGGTAGGAGCGAGGTCAGAACAGCCACCAGAGTAGAGAGTCATTCACGAGCAGCTGGATGGGTCTCAGGGAGGGGAAGACTGGAGTGAGTCACAGGCCCGGTGGGCGCTGTCACGTGGCATCAGACAGCGTGTCACACACTAGTGTTTGCAATGGTCAGGCTGGCAAGGGTGGGAATGGCGAAAGTCAACAAAAGGTGGAGGGTTAGGTGGTCCCCTTGGGTCCCTGCGTGGGGGTGAGCCCTGGGCACTGGCTTCCTGGCCCTCCCTGGTCCTTCTCCCTGCAGGGCGGGCTCCGCGCCACAGGCCAGGCCTGGAAGGGAGGGTTGGGAAGGGCAGCCTCCAGGGGAGCCTGCCTGTCCTCCTGGGTGAGCTTGCTGTATCTTTCCTTTTCTGTGAATGCAGCTAACTCGTTACCTGCGGTGCTCACTTTGGGGTCTCCTGAATGGGAGGCAGAGGAGGAGGAGATGGACCTCAGAACCTTCAAGGAATTGCGGCCTTTCTCGAACCCGGAGCTGGGGTTGATGGATGCCCTTCAGGGCCTCAGCAGCAGTGACTGGTGAGGTGACCCCTCCCTGTGTGCCCTGTGGCCCGGGAGGGGTGTTGGGTTTGCAGAAGAGCTCCTCCCCAAGCTGCCCTTCTCTCCCTGGGCCCTGGTACCATGGAAGGAAAAGGCATTTGTGTGCGTGCGTACATGTGTGCGTGTGTGCATCAGTGCATGCGTGCGTGGTATCTCTGGTTTCCTGTGAATGGCCTGGGTTCCCAAGTGGCCCTGGGCGTTGTTTGGTGAAGTGCTAGAGCCAGGCAAAACAAGTACGAATTTGGCTTCAGAATGTGGGGATCAAGAGTCGAAGCTCCTTATTTCTCTAGATCAAATTAATCTGCTCTGAGTGCACCTCCCGCTGCACCATGGGACACACCATCTTCATCATAAGTGGCGACCCAGGGTCCAGAACTCTCACACAAAGCCCTCTAGAAAAAGTGTCTGCTTTGTGTCGGGGGCCCGAACAGGTCCCGGATGGCTTCAATCCCAGAACTGCCAGAACTGAAGACTGCTGGGGGGAACACTGTGGGAGGTTGAGGCAAGAGGATCATGGGTTCAAGTCCAGCACGGGCAACTTAGTAACTCAGAAGACCCTACCTCAAAATAAGGGGGTGGGGCTGGGCAGGCTGGGCATGCAGTTCAACGCAAAGGCCCTGGGTTCAATGTCCACTGCCAAAAACAAGGTTTATGCCAAAGGAATGGTTAGGACTTCAGGCCTAGGTGTCGCCCCAGGAGGCTCTGCCTGTGAGGACCCCCACCCTGCTGTGGGGTGTGGGGTGGGGAAGGATCCTGGTCTGCAGAGGAAGTGGGTTCCTCCCTCCTCAGCTGCCTGTGACAAGCCTGGCCTTGCTTCTCAGGCAGGTGAAGCAGAAGAGCCTGGTGAGCATCCAGCGCCTGGCAGCCTGTCACCCAGAGGTCCTGGCTGGGAGGCTGCACGACGTGTCGGTGGCAGTGACCGGGGAGGTGAGGCCTCTCCGCAGCCCGTGTGCTGTGCCCCCGCCCCAGCTTCCTTCCTTTCCCTGGTGCAGGGCTTCGAGGTGGGTTCCGCGGCAGCTGTGATGGGAGCTGAGGCTCCCCAGAGCGTGCTTGGGCCTGCCCATTTCTCAGCCCTCAGCCACCAGGGTAGGAGGGGCCCCGGTTCTTCACAGGGCGAAGCTGGGGCCGGGGCCTTCCTTATTTGCAGTCTCTGCAAATTGAAACATCTGGAGTCTCACGTGTCCTTTTGTCACAGACTCAAAATGTCTGATGTCCCATTTGTCCTCTGGCCCCAAAATGTCTGAGGAGATTGTTCTGGGCCAGGTCCCCCGCCTGTCCCCAGGTCCCCAGAGAGAGGCGGTGGAATGCACCGGGAGCGGACAGCTGCTGTGGGGTTGAGGGCTTGAGCACAGAGCACAGAGCACGCTGTGTTGACACGGGCTGCCCGGGGCTGTGGCTTCCTGCGTGTGGCTCGGGCTCTGTGTCCTCCCGTGTCCGCTGCTGCCTTCTCATAGTTTGCAGGTCAAATTGGACACTTCTCACAAACATGCTTTGAAGACAGAATGATCCCAATTTCAGATGATAGTGATGGGATTCATAATTTTGATGCTTACTAAATGGGCCTGCTGGCCCAGAGCCGCTGTCGGGTCCTCCCTTGCGGTGTGGCGAGGGGTGAGGGCCGGGGCGGCTGAGGGGTGGGGTAGTTCCATCCCCCACGTTTCCCCCAGGCCTTGGCAGGGGCCAGCAGTCCTGGAGGGCCCCTCTCCTCCCTGTCTCCCAGGTCACCAACCTCCGCTCCAAGGTGTCCCGCCTGGCCATCAGCACCCTGGGAGACCTTTTCCGGGCTTTGAAGAAGAACATGGACCAGGAGGCTGAGGGGGTCACCCGCTGCCTGCTGCAGAAGATGGGGAACGCCAGCGAGTTCATCCAGCGCGCTGCCAGCCGGGCCCTGGGCGCCATGGTGGAGACCGTGACCCCGGCCCGGGCCCTGACGGCCCTCACCTCAGCAGGCGTCTAGTAGGTGGCTGCGCTGTCTGAGGTGTGGGGGTGGTCAGGGAGGGGAGGCAGGAGGGGCCCTGGGATGTGGAAGGGTGGGAGCCGGGCGGGCTGGGGGCGAATGGGAAGCCGGAAGGGAGGCTGCGGAGCGTCCCGGGATAGAGGCTAGCAGAGGCCCAGAGCGCACGCTCGTTTCTCTTGTTAGGGTTCAGGCCCGGCGCGCTTGGCTGTGGGAGGGAGACCCTGCTTGCCCCTGGGCCTTTCCTCACCTCCCTGGGTGAGAGTGGGGTGAGCCTGGCTAGAGAAGCCGGGATGCTGTCGTTCCGCTCCGAGGCCAGGAAGTGCACGGTGGCCATGGTAACGTCCCCGGAGACCGGGCTGCAGGGCAGCCTAAGCTGTGCCCAGGGGCTCCTTCCCCTCTCAGGGGAGCCCTGCTTCTTTCTGATGAAATCTGGGCCCGTGTGGAGAGTGAAGCACACAGCTTCTCTTCTCCTGGGGAGAGCTGAGGGGCTGGGCTACTGCTGGAGCCGGATTTGCTTTCCTCTTTTATCAAAGCCAAACCAACAGCGAACCAAAGGCATTTCCCCAGCCCTTTCTCTCCCAGGGCCGAACACCCCTCTGCCCCACTACTGTAATCACACAGACGCATGGGGCTTCTCAGCCGACCCCAGCCTGCGGCACCAGCCCCAGACCTTTGCTAATTGTGCCCCAAGGGTGGGGCGCTCGGAGCCACATTGCCTGAGTTCATGTATGGGATTGTGCCTCCACCTCCCCGGGCCTGGTCTCTTCATCTGTAAAATGGGGATAAAATGATAAAACGTGGAGCCAATGAATTGATTGGTGAGAGAGTGCTTGGAACAGTGCCTGTCTCTGCCCAATATTTGCTGAGCGCTTACTGTGGCTGAATTGGGCAATAATTGTACTTTTTCTGGGTTCCTCCCTTTACCTCGGCTTCTTCACCTACAGAATGAGGATGATAATAGTGCTTGTGGAGTTGATGTGAGACAAGGGATAGAAGGAGCTCAGCATAGTGGTTGGCACAGAGCATGGGGCCATTGATCATTGTCAACAAGAACCAGGGTTGGGTGTCCCCGGGCTTGTGTGTTTGAATCCCCGGAGGATCTTGCTGCAATGCAGATTTTCCTTCAACTGCCAGTGTTGCTGGCCCACACTGAGCAGGGAAGGCTCTGATGGCCTTTGTGTTCCACTGGCGTAGGATCTTGGGGGCAAAGGGTCAGTACTGCCCGCTGTGATGTGGACATAGAGACCCTGCTCGAAAGAGGCGGCATTCTGATGAGTTTCTCTTAGCAGGGTTCAGGTTGCACCTGTTACAGTGACTGAATCACCCCATTCAGTTCAACAAACTTGCGTTAAGCTCCTGCTGAATGTCAGGCATTTAGTGGGCATGAGGGAGGGAGATCGATCCTTGTTCCCAGGGGCACAAGGGTGTCACCATGCATCCTAGGAACAAAGAAAGCACCAGCTCAGGAGGAGCAGTATCTAATTCTGCTGTGGGTCTGGGGAAGGAAGAGGAGATACACATGGAGGAGGATTTTTCCAGGTGTAGGAAAGATGGGGAAGTGCTTGGGAAGGCCCGAGAAGGCTGAGCACAGGCTGTATTTAGGGGACAGCACCTTGCTTGCTGTCTTTTTGTTCCTGTTGTCACTTGTAGTCCCGTGGTTAGGAACTGACTGCCTTTCGTCAAAGACTCCCTAGCCCCTGTTGAACAGCTTTTGGAGCCATGGCTTCTGTGTGCACCAGTCTTGGGCCTCCCATCCTTATCCTGTGCCTGACTCCCTGGGTGTGATTGGGTTTTCCTTTCAGCCACCGAAACCCCTTAGTCCGGAAATGCACTGCCGAGCACCTCTCAGCTGTCCTGGAGCAGATTGGCGCTGAGAAGCTTCTCTCGGGCAGCAGGGACAGCATAGACATGCTGGTGCACACGCTGGTGAGGCTGGCCCAGGACTCCAACCAGGACACCAGGTAGGCTGGAGCCAGGGTCTGGGGCAGGCAGGGCAGCTGGCCAGCCACGAGGGACCAGGCCCTCAGTGCAGCTTCCCTGGGGTCTGCAAAGGAACAGTGAGATGGACAGAAGCTGGGTCCTTCCCGTCCAGCTGTTGTCCTATCTCTCTCCAGTGTCCTACCAGACCCCGTCAGGGAGTGCTCAGTGCCCCCTGCCTCCACTCTCTCCCCTTCCCTCGCCCTCGACTTGATGTGACCTCGTTCTTGTCTCCACCCACCCAGCCTCATTCTCTGTAAAACCATGCAAGCATTTTCTCAAGGTATTTGATGGGCATTAATTTTGTTACTATAGATACAGAGGTAAATAAGAAAAATTAAGCCCTTGTGATCTTGGAGCTCACCTCCTAGGTGTGGGAGATAGATAACAAACAAGTAAATATTGTGGTCATCTGAGACACATAAGGGACATGTAGGTGAGATGCTGTGAAGTCGGAATGGAGGATGGAGTGGGAGAGCTGAGGACTGACCAGCCACACGGAGGCCTCTCTGAGGACCAGGGTGTGTGATCCAGGCGAAGGAAGTGGGACAAGGGCTTCTGGAGGGGAGCAGCTTGGGGTTGGAGGAAGACAGACGATGGCCAGGCTTGGGGGAACCCCTCAGTTATGCGGCAATGTAATGGGTAAAAGTGATGCTTATTGTTTTCAGAGAGACTTTTCTCTGATTGTTGAGTCTTGTTTTTTTTTCAATAAAAAATCTCTCTGGCTGCTCAGTGGAGGACTGATGGTGGGAGAGGGGCTGGGTGCAGGGGACAGCAAGCAGATGGCCATGAAAGTGGATGGCTTTGGTATACCGCGAAGGCACAGCTAACAGCCTACGGGCGGTGAGGGTTTCAAAGACAAAAGATGCCACTTGGGCATTTAAAGAGAACACCTGAGTGAATGGTAGGGCTGTTTACTGAAATGAGGGCTAGTGGTGGAGAGGAAGGTTTTAGACTGTTTATTTTTTTGTATTTCTTGGTAGAGGGATGGATGTCAAGACCTAATATGACCCAGATTAATATCCCTCTCCTGTCTGAGGCCCCTCTCACTTCGGATGATGCTGACTATGTTTCATTTTCCTTTTTGGAACCATGTGTATCCCAGTTTGGATTCTGTGTCACTGGGCTCTGGTTTATCCTTGCAGCCAGGGGCCGTGTCTCTGTTGCAGAAATCTCGGAAAGAAATACACAGAGACACAGAATTCGGATAAAATAATAAAATTTCTTCTCGCGAGCAGACGGGCATGCCAGAAACCAGTCTGGTCAATATCTTTGCCCTTTGTTCAGCGTTTCCCTTTTTATATCCTTTTTAGCCATTATCTCATCCTTAGTGGTCTTTGATATGTAAATACAATTCCAGTTCCTATTTACAAGTCACAGCCACAACATAGGCCATATACATTGTAAATTCACCCTGGCATGGTAGCTTTGTTAGGTTAATGAAGTTTCTGGTTAGAGTCAGATAATCCTCACCTTAGACAAGGAGTTACAGGAAAAGCAAATCTTAAAAGAACACATTACTTATTTTGCTTCTACAACTACCTTAATATTCAATCTATTAAGTTATCTAAAACTTTTCCATGTCATCTCTACCCTGCCCTCAGTGTGAATGGAGGTGGTGGTGGAGTGTCTTTAGTTATCCAGGCTCCTCCTTTTCTGGCTCTCACCTGTCTTGGCTCCAGCCACCAACAAACTTTGAGGGTTCCCCATCTCTTTCTCCAGCCCAGACCCTTTTTTGAATGCCAGTCCCAAACCTCTAATATCTCTAGAGGACCTGTCACCAAGTGTTTCATTGCTGTCCTCAGTGCAAAGTGTTCCTAAAGAAACTCATTATGTTCTCCCCAGGTTTGCTTCTCTGTGTTCCCACTGTTGTACAAAGTCACCATTATTTACCAAGTCACCCAAGATGCAAGACCGGGATCCCTGTATGTCATGAGCCTAAGATACATTTCCCTCCACACTATAATTTCATTCTCAGTCACTGTTGGCTAGGCTGTGATTCTGGTTGGCATGTTACTATTTACACATTTGCAGACTTGGTTGTTGTTGTTGCTAGTATAAATTTTAAATTAAATTTGCATCATAGAAACTATGGTGTACCCTTTTCTTTGCTTGCCAACCTTTTTACTCATTTTCAGAAATCATTTTGGATACTCTGCAGAGAATTGTTGAGTTTCACTACAATTTTGAATGTCTTAGAAATATTATACTATTGTTTGGCATCAAAATGAAAAGTTATTATGTATGAGAAGAGGCATGGAAATAAAACAGTATGATATAAATTAGACATCAAGGAAGCAAATGTTTTTGAAGGAATGACCAAAATTCCACACTGTATTGCAAAGCAACTGCCCAAAACTTTACCTGACCCAAGGAAGGAAAAAATACAAGTAGCACTCACTACCTCCTGGGCATGGTGCAGTGTCTGGAAGGCAGTGGAAATTGCCAGCATTTTCTCTTTCTGCTTTACTTTAGTGAAAAAAAAAGCAATGATGTATTTTACCATCAGTAGATTCTTAGGTTGGATGAAATATGGCATTTCTAGGCACTTCCTGCTCCTCATCTGACCAGCTACAAAATCCTGTGGTTTCAGTCCTGTTAGCAGCTCTCGAATGTGGCCACCCTTTCGGATCCCATTCTTCTGCCTTATTTCAGGTCTTGGGCTCTTGCCTGGACTGTGACAGTGGCTTCCTAACTGGTCTCCTGGACCCTAGCTTTGCCCCCACCAATTGCCGTCCACACCACTGCCAGAGACAGGCTGACTAGCGTCCTGATGGGATCATTCCTCAGCTCCCCAGGTGCCTGCAGGCCTTAGCCTGGTTCCTTCATGTCTCCCCAGACAGGGTCCTACCTTCTTCCCCAGCCTGTTCTCGCCCTGCGTGGAAGCTCTGCTCACCATCCCATGCCTGGGGCTATGTTATGAGCCCTGGATGGCCCTGCTCCCTACCTACTCCCTAGCCCTGCCTTGCTTGTGACCTCCTACTCTGCCTGTGAATCCCAGTCATAGAGTCACCGCCTCCATAGGCCCCCGTCTTGATTCGCTCCCCCAACGACCACTGCACACTAAGTAGAGCTGACCACTCCTCTCCTACACTGTCCCCTGGAATGCTTCCTCAGACTCCTGAATTCCCCACATTGGAAAGAAGTCAGATCTATGTCAGTGTAGCCAATGAACAGAATATTGAGTAGTTAAATGGATGCTTATAAAGAGTTTTAAGTGACACGGAGGGAAAATTAATGATAAAATGAAATGACTTAGTATGTGTCATGCATACAATTCTGCTATCAACTAGAATGTATGTGCATGGAAAACAGACTGTACAACAATTTTTTTATAGGGCTGGGGATTTACCGCAGTGGTTTCGCCGCCTGCTGCACAAGCGCAAGGACCCGAGTTCAATCCCCGGTACCAAAAAAAAAAATTTTTGGCAGTACTGGGGGTTAAACCCAGCAAGTTTAATTTTTTTTTTTTAATTTGAGGATTTTGCTAAGTTATTAAATTTCGCAGGCTGGGCTTGAACTTGCAATCCTCCTGCCTCAGCCTCCCAGAGTGCTAGGATTATAGGTGTGTGCAACCATACCTGGCTGAAAATATGGAAACTTTTAATAGTAATTTTTTCTCGATAATGGCATTGTGGATGATATTCATCTTTTATGAATCAAATTTTTAACTATGTAGGGATTGCTTTTATAATTACAACAAAGTGTTAACAACTTTTGTATGTAAGTTAGGAAACGTACGTGAAGCTGTAGAGAAAATTTATCATGCACTTCTATGCTGTTCCTCCATCTTGCTCCTTCTCCCTTGCAGGTTTTATGGCCGGAAGATGGTGACCATCTTGATGGCAAATGCTAAGTTCGACGTGTTTCTGAAGCAGTCCCTTCCATCTCATGACTTGCGGAAAGTCATGGCGGCCATCAAGCAGCGGGTGAGCAGGTGGCATTGAGTTGCAGTCTTCCGGGGTGGGTCAGAGTGGAGCCCGCCAGCCCTTGTGTGGGCCAGTGGAGTGGGGACTGGATTCCGCCAGTGTTGCTGGGGAGGGCAAAGTGGTGCTGTCCCCTGTGCTACTCCCTGGTCCTACCCTCACTACCCAAGTTCCTTGAGCTCCCCGGGCTTCTACACCTTCATCTTTTCAGTGGGGATCTTGGTCTCTGCCCCGGCCATTTCCAGGGTTCTGGAAGGCTCCACTGTGCCCTCTGGAGCTCTCCCAGGGGGAAGGGGTTGTTCCTCTTGTCAGGGCTTCTACTGGAATGTTAGGCAGTCCCCTAGAGGGTTGCTTCTTTTGGCTCAAGTTCTGCATGTATTTTTCAAGGGACTAGAAGATAACCATGAACTTCCATCTGCCAAAGGCCGTAAGGTGTCAAGGAGTCTGGTGGCATGTGAGAACGGGCTGCTCATCGAGGAGGGGCATGGCTGCTCTCGTCTCTCTGGGGCTCCATGTCTAACACTGCCTTCGAGGTAACTTGCTTCCCCAAGGCCATGGGCAGATCTGGGGTGGATTGTGTGTTTGGGGTATGGCTGAGACCTACTTGGTTCAGCAGTAGGAATGGATGGATTTATAGGATGTGTCCTCCACCCACATCTCGGGCAGACCAAATCCTGGCCTCGAGAACATCCACCAGTAGAGTTGGTTCCTGCAGTCTTGGCCAGGGGAGTGCCATTCCATTATTATAGGTGAGATGTGGTGTTGGTCAGGCTTGCAGTCTTCACTTAGATCAGTAGATCCTTCAGCCACCAGAATGGCCAGCCTGGGACTGGTTCAGAGGCAGAGCTGGAGCACAGGCAGACCAGAAGGTCTGGCAGAAGGGCTGGAGGGTGGTGCCAGGAGCATCTAGAAACCAAGCAGGAAGCCAATGGTTACGCCTGTGGTTAAAATTTAAAGTCTTCTGCAGTGTCTTGGGATGATCGTATCTGACTCCTTAGCAAGGTGACAGCTAAAGCCCACCCCTGCAGTAGTGACTTCCTGTACTCTCCCTCTCATCTTCTCTCAGCCAGGCCATAGCAGCTCCTGCCCCTCTGCACCCTCTCTCCCTGTTGTGCCTTTCTTTATGCTGCCCAGTCTTCACTTGGAGCATGCCTGTTGATTCTACAAGAGTCAGCTCACCTGTCACCTTCTTCCAGATGGCACTATGACACTCTGTGCCCCATGTTCTCAGAGTGGATGGCTGCTCCTTGTTCTTTGTAACTCTGCCTTCCATTGGTCCATGAGTTCCTTAAGGCAAAGACCACATTTCTTACCTCCTTGTCAAGAGTGCAGCACAACTCTTGGTAGGCAAGAGCGTGGGATGTAGGAATGAAGGGCAGATGGACGCTGTTGGGTCTTGTTAGGTGGGACCTTGGGGTAGGGCATGAACTCAGTGGCCCTGGCTTTGAACACAGGGTGGAAGATAGGAGGTCTATATGGAGCTGCTCTCATACTGGCTGGAATGCCCATGGGGACTCTGATGGGCATGTGACCCAATGGCAGGGGACAGGGCTTCTTAACATTTCCCCAGGTGCTGGAGGAGTGAGCAGAGCCTAGCCAACCAGGCACAGGATATAGGCATCAGGCGGAAGGTGGGGGAAGAGAGACTTCCAGGCTTCCCAAGGCCAGTGTCCCCAAGCAGCAAGTAGAGGAGAACTGGGTGTCAGCTGAGCCACAGGTGACACAGTTGTCTCTGCCCCACCTGCCAGTGAGAGGGAGCATAGGGCAGGTGCTGTGCTTATCTACTGGGGCTCTTCCCCAGGGGTCAAACCCTCCTTCCCCTAGGGTTGGCTCCAATGGCCCGTGGCTGGCAGTACGCTCCTCCCTGCCGGGTGGCGTGGAAATAGCAGAACAACTTCGGGAGCTGAGGAGGCTGCTGGAGGCCAGAGAGTACCAGTCTCGGATGGAAGGCGTGGCGCGGCTCCTTGAGCACTGCAAGACCAAGCCAGAGCTCATCATCGCCAACCTGGTCCAGGTGAGTGCTGCTCACCTCTTTCCTCTCCCCTATCTGTCCCTGGTGGGCACAACTTCAATTTGGAAAACTGAACCAGGTCAGATGTTGTGCCAGAACTCCCAGGGGAGCAGGAGCCTCGGAAACACTTGCTTCCATTTGGCCTTTGTGATGCCAAAAGCGTACCTGGATGTGGCCAAGGGGCTAAGCACACCTTGGAAATGCCGTCTCTGCTTCTCTTGTCCTTCTGGCAGATTTATGGTGGGCTCCTGGTTCTGTTCTCTCAATAGGTCTTTGATGCTTTCACCCCAAGGCTTCAGGATTCCAACAAGAAAGTGAACCAGTGGGCTCTGGAGTCTCTCGCCAAGATGATCCCCCTCCTCAAGGACAGTGTGCACCCCATGCTGCTCTCCCTCATCATCGCTGTTGCAGACAACCTCAACTCCAAGAACTTGGGGATCACCACTGCTGCCACCTCTGTGCTGGATGCAATGACAGAGAGCCTGGGTGAGTGGGAGGCAGCTGGCTCCCGGGTCACCACGTTGCTTGGGAGTCAACACAGTGGTGAATGGCCCTGGTTGGTTCTTGGGCCAAACGTCTCTTCAGAGCCTGCTCAGGACAGACATTGGCATCCCAGGGCCTCTGAGGCTCTTGGCTGGAGGCCTCTCCATGTCCCATCCACTTGGGTACTGGGTGGTTAAGAGGGGCGATGATGTGGAGATGACCTGGCCTGGCCTCCTCATGGCTATACCAGGGGAATAACTCCCTGGGCCACACAGCCTCTCAGAGGGTGAGAAAGGAGGGCAGGGCAAGGACTAAAGGTCCAGGGCTTGGTGATGGACAGGAGGGAGAATGGAGAGTTGGAAAAGGGAACTAAAAAAAAAAAATAAAACAAATGGAAGGAGCTATGGAGGAGCTATCAGGAAAAGCGAGAACCTCTCACCTCCTATGTGCTTTGCTGCATTACATTTCAATTCTCCAACATTAGGTGGAATTCTCAGTGCATCCATTGCCTGTCCTTTTCCTTTCATAGTTGATATTTGGTGCACCCAGTATATAGATGAAAGTGCACCCAGAAAGTGGTACATGTGTAGCCTTATGTCCTGGATGGCAGATTGATGAGTTTTTGCAAACAGGTCTCACCGCCGTGGGAGGAGCTCCTGAGCTGAACACTGGGCTTCGTTTCCCTTGCTGCTGTATGTCCCCACTGGCACAGGGCCTGCCTTCCTGCGGCATCATAGACCAGCCCACAGCAGGCTGGATGCACCTCTTGGCACACTCTCCCCTCCCCATCTCCCTGCCGTGGCCCGAGCCCAGCTGCTAGGACTGGGACAGCAGCTGCGTCCTTGGCGGAGCCACCAGGAGGAGTTACAGTTACAAATCAGAGGCTTGGTCAAGCCCTTCTCTGCCTTTTAAGTCCATAAATATTGTCAATTTCCTCTTCTCATCTCAGAGGGAATTTATGATTTGCTGAGTTCGTTGCTGTAGAACAAACAATATAAATCCAGTTCTAAATTATGGCTTGTTCTCAGCGCTGCTCTGGGTAAGTGAGATTGTTGTTGCCAATAACCAAAGCTCTTGGTAAATCACTGTGGGCCTTGGATTTATTGAGAAAACCGGCACCAAGCAGAATGGGCTTTAGATATTTGAAGAGGATGAGCATCCACGTCTAGGGAGAGAGGTTTTAACTCTTCTTCCCCTGGGTGCTTCAGCTTCTGCTCTTTGGCACTGGGCCAGTCTCCCGGGACATGGTGGAGCCTGGAGCTTTGGGCTACAGAATCTGGTGTCTCCCATGGTCTCCTTTACTTGGGCCCACCATACCCATCTGGGCTGGGCACCCTGGAAAGCAGGGGACTTGGGGATGGCCTGAGTATTCGTCCATTTTCTACTGCTATAACAAAATAGCTGAGGCTGGAATCTTCAGAAAGAAAAGAGGTTTTTTAAGCTCACAGTTCTGGAAGCCCAAGAGCATGGCATCAGCTTCTGCTCAGCTCCTGTGGTGAGGACCTCATGGCAGATGGTATCACGATCCTGAGAGCAGACAAAGAAGAGATTCTGTGGTGAAGTAGGAAGTCAGAAACCAGGTAGAGGCTTGTCTTTCTTTATAGCAAACAACCACTCTCATGGGAACTAACTCACTCATTCCTTAGGGCCATGAGCCCAGTGACCTGATTACGTCCCTTGGAAGCGGAATACAGTACACTGTCTTAGAGGCAGGTGATCTTGAGCTTTCTGGGCCAGATGACTTGGCTGTGTGCCAGACCCTCTCAGTCCAATCAGCAAAAAAATAGAACTATTTTTTTTTTAAAGTTAAGAGAATTTTAACTATGAAGGGGCAAGCTGATTTCTACATCCATTGAGGCCAGAGCTGGAGGGATTTAAGCTAGACCAAGAGTTCATCATTGTTGTCAAGTTGTCCCTAGGAATGGCTCTCATCTGCCTGGAATGCTCCGAGCCTGGGCCACAGGGATAAATGTGTGCAAATAACTTAGCTTCCCACTACCGGTGGGGGGCCAGCTGAGACAGGAGAGAAGGGGCATAGCCTTCCCAGATCACTCAAGTTGGGCCTGGTGGCTCTAGTGGTATCCTTGGGTAAGGATGGGGGGAAATTAGCACTCCAAGCTTCTTCCTGGAAGTGCCTTGGAGCACTTTGATGGACAGAGCTTTCTCTGACCCTGCTTCTTCATGTCCTCTTGGGGATTCTGGGCTCCAGGACTGGTAAATGATGTGAAATGCTCAAATGTGGAAGTCACAAAGCATTGGATCAGCATGTTCTTTTTCATTTCTTGCTAATTGTGTGGCCAAGGGGATCAAAAATGATGTCAGATGAGGTCATCAGGCCATCTTCTGGCACGGAGTCCAGATGGCGCAACCAAAGGAGAGGTGGGCCCGCTTAGGGAGCCTCCTGATTCCCCTCGATTCTGAAAGTGAGTGCTAAGTGGACTCATCAGCCAAAGTCATCTCTTCTAGTTCCCTGGTTTTCCTGAGAGTGGGTGGGGCTGAGAGATATGTTGGTTGACAGCGCAGGGGAGGATTTCTGCTACTGTCCTCTTTTGGGGGGGATGGTGAGAGAGGAGATATGTAAGGCACCTTGTTCCCCAACCTCTGCCATTTGTCACTGGCTGCCTTGGGTTCTCTCCAGGCTTCAGGTTGCGGCATTCCTCCTACTCCTTGCCAAGGCTTCTTGATTTCAGGGGCATTATTCTGGGACTTAATTAAGTTTCTGATGGACTCACTGACCCTGTCTTTGGGCTCTGTTACTGGGTTAGTTACAAAAGGATCTTCCCTACAGGTGGCTGACAGCTCAGCCTCTCCCAGATGACCTTCACATTCAGGCTTCTCAGAGCCCAAGGGAGCTCTCTTAATTTAGCCCAGCCCCTGGCCAGGGCTGGAGACTGCAGATAAGCTTGGAAGGGGCGTGGCTTCAGATCTACTTCCCCTATTTTGCTCTTTGACTTTAAACTTTTTACCTTATGTAAATCATATGACCAACATTATAGTGTCAATGGAATTAAAAATTCACCATGATGCATCTCCATTATACTGACTGCTTAACATATCTGTAATCTTCTATTTTTTGTCTACACGTATACACATTTCCCTAGTTAAAAACTATAATGTGAATACAATTTTGATTTTGCTTCTTTAATACTATCCACTTTCCCGTGCTAATGTGTAGTCTCTCTAGTTAATTAAAAAATATAAGGTCTATTTCAGCACTGTAAAATACATAGTTATTAATTAATGAGAAAATGGAAAACATGAAGCATTTGAAAAGAAAAAAATAACTCTCTTAAATGAGTTCCAACTGCTAAGAGAAATCATTGTTAACATTTGGCATTCTTCATTTCAGACTTTTTTCCTGTGCATATCTGTGTACCTAGTTGTGACCATAAATTTGACTTTGCATCCTTCTTTAAAGGAATCAGAGAATGAACATTTACATATGATTGCAATCTTAGCAGCTCCATCCTGTGGCTGTCTGCATGTTTCTATGCAGGTGGATCACTTCCCATCTTTTCCTGAGAGGAACCTACCCGGTCTTAACAGCCACGGAGGCTCTGGCATATTATAATTTACTGAGTATTGTGCTTATTGTGGGGAGTCCAGCTCAACTTGAGTTTCTTTGTTGCCACTATCCATGCTGCAGTTTTGTTGTTGTTGCTGTTTGTGTGTGTGTGTGTGTGTGTGTGTGTGTGTGTTTTGAGACAGGGTCTCACTATGTAGTTCATGCTGACCTTGAACTCACTCTGTAGCTCAGGCTGGCCTCAAATTTGCAGCAATTCTCCTGCCTCTGTCTCCCAAGTGCTGGGATTACAGGCATGTGCCACCACACCTGGCTTTATAGTTTCTTAAAGACTCTTCTCTGCTTGAGGATAACCCTGAGGGTAAGCAGGTGACCAATGAGCTCGGCTGGATGGGACAGATGTGAGGTCCTCTAGACCTTGGCCCCATTATGGAGAGGTGAGCCTGGGCCAGGAGGCAGGGTTTGTGGCCTACCAGCCAGTGGCTATTTCTCCTCATTGCATGGCTTTTACTTCTCTTTTTTTTTTTTTTTTTTTTCGGTACTGGGGATCGAACTCGGGACCTTATGCTTGTGAGGCAGGCGGCAGAACTACTGAGCTAAATCCCCGGCCCTGCATGGCTTTTAAGACATTCTTTTCATTGCAAGGCCAGTCTCGGCTTTCTTGTAAGGCAGAAGAGGAGATTATGAAAACTCATTCTAGGCTAACAAAGCACCGATTTTAAACTTTCAAAAGTTAGGTTCTGGCCTCTTAACTGGTCTCTCTACCATTAAGCATGCTGGGATTTCCGAGAATTTTAGGGTAATAATAATCATAACAAAAATAGCAGATACATAGTAATTACATGCTCTAGGCATGATCTTAAGCATTATGCTAATCATTTAATTATCACAGCAACTCTTTGAGAAAGGTTCTAGGATCATCCTCATTTTATGAATGTGTAAACTGAGGCACAGAGACAATAAGTGGCATCTCCAGTGTAACATAGTAAAATATGGAAGAGCCAGATTTAAACCTAGGCAGTCTGCACTCAGAGCCCATACTCTTCATCACTATGTTTTATTGCCTCCCATTAAACCTGAGCATGCCCTAAAAGTTGAGTCTTTACTCTAGAAGTGGTCAGAGGAAGACAGGCCAGCTGCCTGGCTTTAGTGTGCTGGGGTTCATAAACCAGCTTGGGAAAACATATTTGGTTCTGATATTGTCCTGCATTCCACAAGCATTTATCAAGAACCTGTTGTGAACTACATGCTGTGGGAACAGGCTGTCCTGGACATGCATTTTCAAGTACTCCCCAAGTTCACTTCCTTCTGGCTCTGAGCAGGAGCTAGATTGGGCATCGTAAGAGGTGATCCAGGAGAGAGAAATCCTCTGTCTTCAAATGTGAATTCATTTCGAACGATGAGGGGAGGGGTATGGAACAAACAGAAGCACATGGAAATCATAATACAGGTGATGTTGACACAAAACCTATTCTTACACAATTACAATTTTACCAAGACCCTCTGAGACCACTTCTTGCTAAGTGCAGTATTCTAGAAGCAGGCATCTCTTTCATGTCCCTGGACAAATTAAAGACTGCTGCCTTGTGGATGGAGCTTTTGCAAACAGCAGAGATAAACATGTACATTTTCTCTTCTGTATCCCTCATGGGCCTCAGCAAGGGAGCAAGGCAAGCAGGAATTAGCTCTTAGCTGGATTTGTGGCTGTGTGGGCAACGTTGGAGCTGTGACATCACCCTGGGAGAGGTGGGATATCTGGGAAGAGCTCCTCAGGCTGGTCTCTAGACTGTCCCTGGGGGTACAGGTCTGGCCCCGAGATGTCAGGGGCCCACAGCCCTGGTGCCATGGTTTGGATGCTCCCTCTAAAATCCACGCTGAACTGACTAGCCACTGGGCAGGACTAAGCGGTAATCCTCTTAACCACGGAGAGGTGATTAGATCAGAAGGTGCTGCTCATGAATAGATTAACGATGCTCCTGCAGGGAGTGGGTTACTTACTGTGGGGGTGGGTTCCTGGTAAAGAGAGTGACTTGGCCCTTTCTGTCTATCACACAAGCGTTTGCCCTTCTGTCTCCCACCCCTGGCACCATGCTGTTAGACTTTGCAGCCTTTGGAACCCTGCGCCAGATTAACTTGTATTGTTCATAAATTACCAGACTGTGGTTTTCTGTTATGGCAGCAGAAAATGGACTCAGACATCAAGATGCACTTGCCGGGCTGCTTTGGTGACAGGTGTTGAGCCTCCCGTCCTCTGTTCCTGACAGGTGCGGGCAAGTCCTGCAGCCACACCCCTGACAGAGGCCTCTAGTTTCTTGCCCCACCTCCCACTGAACGGTGCATTGACTGCCGGGGTTGCAGAATGCCAGGAGCTGGGCACACTGGGGCCTCTGCAGTTTGAGGCACAGGTGCTGTGGAGACAAAAGGAGAGCCGTCAGGCCTGGTGGATTCGCAAGGTCACCACAGCTTTCTCAGACAGGGGCGGCTTTCCTCACCTTGCGTGTTTTTGTGAGGAATGCAGGCCTCCAAGTTTAACAGTTTGAGAAGCCAGGAGATAGCAACTAGAACGGGGAGAAACAACAGGAGCATGGAGCTTTCCACCTTGGGCCAGGTTTATGGCTAAAGTGTCTGTTTCTCAAAGTGGCCTCCCTGGAGGGGGCGGATGAAGGAGCTTGTCTTGGTTCCCAGCTCCATTCTCAGCTCCATACCTTTTCATTGAGTTACATCCCCAACCCTTCTTTATTTTGAGACATTATTTCACTAAGGTGCTAAGTTACCCAGGCTGAGCTTGGACTTGTAATCCTCCTGCCCCGGCCTCCCAGAGTGCAGAGAACATGTGCCATGATGCCTGGTTCTAACCCCAACTCTGTGTTGGCTTTTGTGTGACAATTGTTCAGTATTTCAGTGTCTTCTAAAACTGTAAATATATTTTTATATCCCCATATGCATCTACCCATCTCTGTCTGTCCATCCTCCATCTACACACTCTTTTGCCCCGAACTTCATGGCAACTTTGAGAATCACAGACAACATGAACCAGACCCGTGGAAATAAATGCAGCTTGCTTGGGAGCCAGTTGGGCACTGTTCCTCAAACACCCTGTGCCCATTTGCTCTTCAAAGTGGCCCCACCAAGACCTGGAGAAATTAAATCAGCCCCAAAGGGCTTCTTCCTTATGCAGGCGTGTGGGTACCTGGCTTGGGAATTTAGCCCAATGCTTGGCGACCACTGACACCTCCATGTCTTGCAGACCACCTCGTCCTCCTCCAAGCGTTTGCTGGGCGGGTGCGCTTCCTGAGCGGCCGTGCAGTGCTGGACATCACGGAACGCCTGTCGGGTGAGCAACCCCTCCCTGCGGGCTCTGTCCTCCTCTCCGAGACTGCAAATAATCCCTCGGGTCATTGAAAAGTTTTGATCATTTGCTCTTTGTGACAATCTCCACATTCCCAGGAAGACAATCTTTCTTTTCAGTCCAAGGAGGCAGGAATGTATGTAGCTAAATAGTTTCTAAGAAACGACAATGCATTTCTTCCTCTTTGCAAAGGGATCTTCCTGTAGCCTGTCCCATGCCTCTGTGGGAACCAGGAAAAGTGTTCAGGTAGACACTGCCTGCTGAGTGTACTGCTCGGCTGGCAGACAACATGGTTGTGAGAATTCGAAGCTGCCCTGTCTGTGGCCTGGCGAACAGGGTGCAGGCTGGCTTTCAATGCCACTTGGCTCTCGGCTGGGTGCTGGCCTTGGCCTGGATCTCTGCCTTGTTCAAGCAGATGGCTCTTATCAATCCGATTTCTTCTTGAGCCTGCAGGAGAAGCCTTCAGTGGCTTCATTCCAGGATCAATCCCTGCTCCCAGGGCCCTTGAGGTGGCAACATGGAAAAGGCCCAGGCTTTGAGGTCCATAGGCCCATTTGCCATCCGCCCACACTGACCTTGGGCTGAGTTTTTTTTTAAATGTATAACTTTATTATTATTCACTAAACACACACATATGCAAAAATTAAAATTATTCAAAGAAAAGCAATGCAAGGGAAAAACTATAATAATATTCAAATACAATAGAACTCAACCAAAGCAAAACCCAAAAGTACTTAAACATTTTTCCATATAATTTAAAAAAACATCTCAAGCGTTAACAAGACATCAGAGGATGTGATTTGTTTTAGAAAGATTTTCAAAACTAATATTGAACACATAGTGGTCTGGAAAAAAAATTCTAATTAGCTAGTAGACTCCACAGAGGCCAAATTTTTTTAAAAATTTAAATTTCAATACAGTCATGTGACACGTGATGGAAATATAATCAGAGAAATATGTTATTAGGCAATTTCATCCGTGTGTATTGCAAAGTACCACACAGTGCCAACTTCTAAGTGCAAACTGAGAAGGTATATGTCAATCATCTGTGATGGCCCCTTTATATTATCCAAATATGCAGTTAAACATGAGAGACATGAGGCCACCACTGGCATAGCAGCACACTGTTTTACAGTAAACTCTTTTATATAAGTAGGATTATGCTCTAATGGATGAAAAGCACAGCATGTTATGATAAGTACCTAAAACAGTAACAGTCATTTATCACACTATCGAGTACTGTGTACTGTACATAGCTGTATGTGCTTCTTCTGGAAACACACTCTTCTCTCCTTTGATCTCAGTGACTCTTCCTTCCCAACCCACTGATGAGCTCCAGCCTAGTCTCTATCTACATCTCTTCCTATAGCTTTAAACACAATCTATATATGGATTCTTTCCAGATTCCAGCCTGTAACTGATCTCTCCCCTTCCCTTCCTGCCACCCCTACCCCTTTGAGCCTTTTCTTCATATTTCAAATTATCAATTATTCATTTTAATCATTTTAATCCTCATTTACACTCTTAGTTTCTCACACTAGAGAAACTATTTGGTATTTACACGTGTGTGTCCTATTTATTTCACTTAAGAGGATGGCCTCAATATGCATCCATTTAGCTATAAATGTCTCTAGTTTTTCGTTCTTTATGGCTGAGTAGTACTCCATTTTATAAAAAAACCACATCTTCTTTATCCAGTCTCCAGTTGGTGGACACTTGGGCTGTTTCCAAGCTTTAGCTATTACAAACTGTGCCGCTATAAACATGGATGGACATATATCGCTGTGGTATGATTCTTTTAATTCTTTGGGGAAGATACCCAGCAGGGAATTGTGCTGGAAATCATAGAAATGAACTATCCACAAAAATAAAAAAAATAGAGCTCTAGTTGTGCCTGTTATTGTTTTGTAAAGCTCAATGTCAAAATATTTAACATTATGGCTTTTTAAATTCTGCATGCAGAAGTACTAGCTACAATATCAAGCAAAATTCTAGCCTCAAGCAGTATGGGAAATTAATTGCCTTTGCAATTCAAGGACTCAAACATTAAATACACTATTTCCTATGTCTTCCTCCTCTCTACCTACCTCCTCCTTTTCCTTCTATTTCTCTTCCTTTTTCTCTCCTGCCTTCCCTGATCCCTCCTACGCCTCGCTTTCTCCCTTTCCTGAAGGTTGGCGAAACAAACTTTGCCTAATTTCTGCCTAATTCCCTAGTACAGGGGGAACAAGGTGATTTGCTGTGAAAAGATAGCTTTCCTTTACCTGCTGGCATTTTTTCATGTATTTATTTGCTGCTTTTACTTTTGTCTGAGAAATGTCTGTTCATTTCAGATGCCCATTTTTGAATTGGGTCTTTGAATTTGGGGGGTCTGAGTGTTTTCGTGGGCTGAGTTTTATTATCCTTCTCACTTGTCAAATCCTCCTCGACATCTTGGGAGGAGGCAGGAGGACTCATTGTGTCCCCAGGACCCCAGAGATCCCCCTAAAATGCAGATGGATCATGCTGTGTCCCTGCTTAAACTTGAGGGGCTCCTGAACTGTCTTCATGCCTTGGATCATTTAACCATCCAAACAGCCCCGCAAGGAGGATGTGGGTCCTATGAGTGTCCCTTTGTTAGAGACAAGGAAAACGGGGCTCAGAAAAGTTAAGTGCCCAAGGTCCGTGGTGAGTCACCCAGGATTTGTCCCCAGGAGTCTGGCTGCTGTGGTGCTAGGGAGTCCTGTGGCGAGAACAGGGCCATGGTACTAAGACCGTCAGGAGACCAGGCGAGAACCCTTCTCTGCTGCTCCAAATCAGTGTTCTCTGAGGGAAACCTTCCTTGTCCTTGTGAAGGTGATACAGGGGCCCCAGGATGGGGATGTAGCCTCATTTTAGATTTTTACTTACTATAATTTTTTCCTATTTCTAAGAGGCCTCAAAAGCAAGAGCTTCTTCAGAGCTCTTCTCTTAACTTGGTGTCAGCTAGGAACAGAGGAGAAAATTTCCTTTGACAGAAAGCGTGGACTAATAATAGCACAGCTTAATAGGAGTAAATCTTTTGCTAATTACTCCAGCTGCCTTTTCAGAGTGAGTTTAATGGGGTTCACTCCTTCATGATGGATCCCAGAAGGGCTTCTGTGCTTTTGGCAACTTGAGAGACAGACCCAACCAGCCAGGTGACCTCCACATGCCTGTACCTGGGGACTGGCTCTGAGGCAGCTGGAACTCTGTCATCCCGGAAGACGTGAGCAACCGTGTGGGCTGTGGAGTGGAGCTGAGCTGGGCGGGGTTGCTCTGCTTCTGAGGAGGGAGCTGCCCGGGGCTGGAGTACAGCAGCTCCCTGCTGGGTGGTTAGAGGGAGAAGGCAAGACCAGATGGGGAAGGAGGCTCTGTTAGGGACAGGTGAGCCTCTGGGGGGGATTGTTCTTACCTTCCCTCCCCCATTTTTATTGTGTTAAAATACATATAACATAAAATTTACTATCTGAACCAGTCTGAAGTGTACAGTTCAGTGGTATTAAGCACTTTCACAATGTTGTGTAACCATCACCACTGTGCATTGCTTTTCATCTTGGAAAGCTGAAACTTTGTCACCATCAAACAATAACTCTCCATCCCCTACCCCCTCAACCCCTGCAACCGCCATTTTCCCTTCCATCTCTGTGAGACTGACTCCGCTAGGTACCTGAGAAAGGTGGACGCCTATAGTATTTGTCCTCTCATGACTGAGTTGTTTCACTCCGCGTAATGTCCTTGAGGTTCATTCATGCCGAAGCATGTGTCAGCATTTCCTTCTTTTTAAAGCTGAATGATATTCCATCGAATGGGTGGACCACATTTTGCCTATTCATGCATCGAATCAGGGATACTTGGGTTGCTTCGACCTCTTGGTTCTTGTGAATACCACTGCTATGAACATGGATGCACACATATTTCTTCATGGTCTCACCTTTTTTCTGTGGGTGAGATTTCATGGAGATTTGGGAAAACATTGAGTTATAGTTGTTTGGCCTAGGTAGCTGATCAGGATTGTGTGATTCCTTTCTGTCCCTTCTTCCTAGCTCCCTTTCTTCATCTGCCCCCCTGTTCCCCACCTTGGAGCTGACTGGGGCCACTTGTCTGCTTTCTGGTTACTGTATGCTTCCTATGCAGCCTGTGTCGATCTCAGAACACAACCCTCAGCCCTTTCCGGCCAGTGCGCCTCTTTCTGTCACTTGATAAAGCTGTTCCAAGCCTTTCTGCCCTGGGAGCCTTCCCTCCTATTGGAACTGCTGTGGCTGGGTTGACCCGGAGAGTACAGCCCTGCTTTTCCAGCATTCACCTTGGCTTCTGAGGGATCTGTGGCCCCTGGAGGATCCCATGGGGGCCCCACAGGTTGAGGTGCAGGAGCCCTGGTTATGGCCTAACAGTCAGCATTCACACCATGGGAAATGCCACTGAGTGTCAGGCTGAACAGAGAGGGGACCCGGGCCATCTTGTCTGGTTTCCCGTGGTCCCAGGCTGGCTCTGAAATCAAAGGGACCCCCTGGGTTCTTGGGGACTTGGATGGTTTTCAGCTGATAAGAGAAGGACAGTTGGGTATTTCGATAAAATAAAGCAAGGCTCCAGACCGGACTCTGAGGTGTAGAAACCCTAGAGGTTGGGGTGCAGCACAGGGTGGAGGCTTCGGAGATGAGGCAGACTTGCCCCTGTCCTCAGTGCCACTTTTATGAAACCAAGCTCCTTGGTGAGTCTTGCTTTCCTACCCTGTGAAATGGATGTGTATCCTTCCTCTCGGGGGGACCACAAAGATGAAATGGGGCCACACCTTGAATCTCTGAGCCCCAGACTCAGGCGGTTCCCGGAGTGTGGCCCAGCCCATGTCACCAGTTTCTTGATCCCTTGAATCAACACTGCTCCCGCTGTTGTTTGCCTTTGCCAGCACTTGCTTTTTGGTAGGACATCTGGCAGGATGGTCTTTTTGTGAAACAGGCACCATCGGCACTAATACACTTAGCATACCTTGGCCATAGGCCTTCTGGTGACCTGGGATGCAGGGTAGGCTGGCTGCTGGGTATTCTTGGGTTTAACGGGCTGGGGGGTTTGGACAATCAGATTCAGGGGTCCATCACTGAGCCGAGGGCCTGTGCAGAGTGTGGTGGTTTATGACCCATTGATGGCCCAGGTGCTGGGGAGGCCATTTCTGGTCTTGTCCCTTGCGAGCTGTTTGATGTACAGAAAGAAGGCTTTACCTCTCTCCCTAGTAGAGTTTTTCTCTGTATTTGTGTGGACTTTCATAAGTGGCAATATATCGATGCAATATTAATACTAGCTATTATTTGTCACCCGCCTACCTAAAGGTAGAGACACCTGACATATATTTATTGAGTCTCTAACAATCTTGAGGGCTCGGTTCACCATTATTACCGTTACTTTACAGATATGGAAAAGGCTGAGAAAGGTTGAGCATCCCTTTCAGGTTCGCATGGCTCAGAGAGCAGAGGCAGGGTTATAATTAGGGCATCAGCCTCTTTGCTCTCCCCTGGGTTGCAGGGACCCATCGTGATTGTCATGGACCTCATGCACTTTTGTCTTTGCATGCCCCCTATTCCACAAAAAAAATCAAAATTGTATTGGTGCAAACATGACTAGAAATCAGGCTAGATATAGTCATAGCTTTTCTTTTCTTTTTTTTTTGGGGGGGGTACTGGGGATCGAACTCAGGTCCTTGTGCCTGCGCAGCAGGTGGCGAAACCACTGAGCTAAATCCCCAGCCCCATAGTTTTTCTTTTGTTGTTAAAAGAAATGAAAACATTTTCATGGGCTGCTACATGTGTTACAATCCTTGGGTCCTGTGCCGGGCTGCCGGCCTGGGGAGGGTGGGGTTGGTGCCCCAAGAGCGGGTGGTGGGAGGGGAGAGAGTGCCCAGTCCCAGTGACCCTCTTTCTTTTTTTCCTGACAGTGCTGGTGGCCTCAGTTTACCCTCAGAAACCTCAGGCCGTGGAACGCCACGTCCTCCCTGTCCTCTGGTACTTCCTAAACAACATGATCAGGAGTGGCACGCTGCCAGGGCTTGGCGGGAACGTCCGCACAGTGGTGTGCCAGCTGTCCAGGACCCTGCAGCAGCAAATGGGTACCCGGCTGCAGGACTTTGCCACTGCCCAGCCAAAGCAAGTCCTCAGAATGCTCCAGGAACTCAACACAGAGTCCCCGGGAGGCCCCCATGAGGTTACCGAGAGAGGCGCCACCTGACAGCTAGACAACTCGCAGCGCCCTTTCCTTTCGCTGGATTCAAGAAGGGCCCCAAATAGGCGATTATTATTTTTTATCTTATTTTATTTTTATGATGGAATAGTATCTCCCACGTAGAATTCTGGATGTATATAGCCTATTTTGAAGTAGAAATAAAAGAATTACTTATTTTTCTAAGGTTTTCTTATCTTGCATTTTTGTGACTTTGGAGAATTTTCTAGTAGGTAGGATTGTGATGCAAATAAAATAAGACATGCCTCCCAAATAAAAATAAAACATGACAACAACCGAACTTGTTACAGACGAGGTTGAGTGGAAGAGTGAGGGAGTAAGAGCCCATGTGCAGTGGCCCATTCAGGGGTCGAGTCCCCACCTCGAGCAGTGTGTGACAAGACCCCTGGGACCCAGAGCCCTGCTGGGCTGGTCACTCAAATCCAGTCCTTTTGCCACTGGTCTGTTAGAGGTGAGTGTGACAAACTTCTCTGAGCACAGGGCACTTCGGCCCTGCGAAATCCTCAGCACAGTGTCTGCTGGTCCAGTGGAACCTTCTGGCAAGATCTTTCTTCCCAGCTTGTCAAGAGGCAAGGGGAGCTTGACGTGTGAATCACTGCAGCTACTCTAGAAGCTTGGCTTGCTCTGACGAGGATTAGATGCTTCACACCTGAAACGCGGTAAGTGGAGCACTCGGTAGAGCATGGAGGCTGCACATCACTCTGATGCCAAGCGGAAGCTCTGAAGTCACACAGGCTGCTGGAGCTGGCTCAATCATGATGCTCGAGAGGGGCAGCAATGCAGGAGGTGAGGAAGCAGAGGGAGGTGTTGGCCCTGGTGGAGAAGCTGGCGAATGTGGTCCTGGCAGGGGAGGGGGCTGTCTTGGGCTCAGGCTATGGGGACGTTTTGTCTTGGCCTGGGGCAGTCGTAGGTTACCAATGGTGTGACCAGAGTTAGAGAGCAGGTCATTACCTCAACACGGGCAAAGCAGACTGGTAAGGAGAGGGGAGGCAACACCAGGGACAGTTCCAGATGGCTGAGACCTGGCAAGCCCATACCAGCAGGTTTTCTGGCAAGCCCCACCATGAGAACCCCTGTCCACTCTCACGTGACTCCAGGTATGACAAGGATTCCACATCATTCTGAGCCCGTCCTGGGAAGCCTGGCCTTGGAAGCTTTGTGGTCAGGTGGAGTTAGGCCAGGTCGCCCCTGCATGCTGGGCTGAGGAGGGGCACTTGCAAGTCACCTGTGCCTGGCTTTTAACAGGCTGCTTGAGCCCAACACAGTTATTCTGGCTGCTCACCTGCAGGGATTCTCTGTGACCACCTTACTTTTTGTCAGTTCTGGCTGAGCCAGGCTAAAGATCTGCTATGGGGGGAGCCATCCAAAGAGACTCAAGAGGCTGGTTTAAAAGGTTTTAAAGGTTTTATACAATTTGATTAATTGTGTTTGCTTCTGGGCTTTTGGGGTTTGGTTGGGAGACCTGCATTTTCTGCTTGTCATGATCCAAAAACAGATCAGAATATTTCAGGAGTTTCAGAACTGAAAGAACCAGGAAACACAGAGACTGGCTAGGATTTTGAAGGCAGAAATTAATTCCAACTGCGCTTTCCTGTCTTCCTATCTTCTATCTCCGTCCTCAAATATAGAGCTTCCCCCAGTTCTGGACCCTTCCTCGTGGGTAGAGGTGGGTAAATAACCGAAAACTAAAACTACTATAAAAGCCAAGAATAGATCTTTGCACAGTTCGCGTTCCCTTCATTATTCTAGGTTTTAATCTATTGTGGGCAGCCAGTTGCACCCCAGCCCTGCACTGCTGTTGGGAAGGACTGGGGTGTGGTGTAGATTGGGGCATCTCCCCCACATCATGGAAACAGGGAGGACAGCACACGGGTAACCTAGCCTTGGGCCCGTTGGGAAGGCCTGTGAGGACAGTGGGAGGCCAGCTCTGGTGAGCCAGCCCGGGTGGACGGGAGCTGAGCCCACCTCGTTCTTTGCTTGGCTGTGTGTGAGTGAGAAGCTCTGCTTACCGAAATGCTCCTGGGGACACGGTCTCTGGCTGACAGTCTCTCCCTGGCCTTCTCCTTCTCCCGTTCTTTCTCTTTTCCTCTCTGCCTCTTCTTCCTCCCCGCCCTCCCCTCTCAGTGTGGGAATGATAGACCAAGAGTTGTCTGAGGACTGCAACGGCCAGGCCTTCCTGTTGTACCAAGTGGCATTTTTGAGATTTTGGGAAACTTTGCCTTTAGCCTGCCTCTCCTTTTCTCTTCCTTTTTTCCATCGCCTGTCTTTTAGGCTAGGGAGTGAGTTTTTACTTGCACTGTGCTGCAGAATCATCTGGAAAGAGTTACGGAATACTGCATCTGTTGGGTCCCTTCCCCTAGGGGGTTTGATTCAGCTGGCCAGGGGTGGGGCCCAGGCAGTTAGCTTTCTCTCTGTTTCTCTCCCGCTGCCCTGCCTCCCTCTTCTTCCTTCTCTTCCCCCTTTTCTTCCCCTTTCCCCTTCCCCCTCCCTCTCTCTCCCCCTCTTCCTCTTCCCTCTGACATTCAGGTGATTCTCTCTGTGATCAAGTTCAGAAACCACAATGGCTCTGGCCCTGTAGGCCCCAGGCCTGCCAGCTTCTCTCCCTTCAGAGCTGGGAGTGGGAGGCTGAGACTGGATGCTGGAGTCAGAGAGGCCTGGGGTCAAGTCCATGTACTGTGGCTTGCTGGAATGTGGCTTTGGACCCTTTTGTCAAGCTCTCTGATCTTTATCTTCCTCATCAGCTTACAGGGCCAAGTGGTGATGCTGATGTGTGACAACAATCCCCACCTTGACCTGGCTGCTGTACAGACGAATTAGATGGTTTTGCAAATTACTTAGCACAAGGCCAGGGGCACAGGAGGACTTGGTGAACGTGATCATGATGTTTAGAGGGTCATTGCTTCAGGAGCCGCTAGTGATAGGGTCTTGTGGGGGCTCTGTTGTCCTCGGCCTTGGAAGGAGAGAGATTGTGCTGGGGCTTCATGGAACCTGAGGCGCACTGGTAGCCTGTGGAGGCTTGTCTTCCAGAATGGGCTTGTTTTGCCCTCTCTGCTAGGAAGTTAGAACCCTTCCCATCTTTAGGACCTGTCATCTCTCCAGTCCCCTATCCCTTTTCCTCACAGTCACCCTTGGCATTTCCCATTCCCATCCCTTCCACCATGGAAGGAAACTGGGTGCCCTTCTCCCTTCTTGGTTGCTCCCTCCATTCCTCTTGGACTGTCTTGCAGCTGAGGTGGGAGAGTTTGGAAAGCAGAGAGCTTTTTAACCTAAAGCATTTTCTTTTTATTATACTCAGTTCTGCCACTAGTCAAGAAAAGGGGAGCAGAGGAGGGTAATGGCAGGTCTTCTGTGCTTGGTGGAAGGAGGAAGATGGAGACCAGAAAGGAGAGACGGGAGGAAGAGCTAGGCTCAGAATTGAATGTCCCTCATGTTCTGGGTCTGTCATTCTTCTCGACATCTTTGAAGGAAGAGATTATATCTCCTATTTCCTTAGGAGGAAACTAAGCCTCAGAAATGCTTAGTCAGCAGCCTCAGCCAGGGCCCAGAGCCTCTTGGGAGTCTTGCTAAGTTGTAGACTCGGATTTGGCAGGAATGGGTGAGGATTGAGATTCTGCATTTCCAATGAGCTCCCCATGATGCAGATGCTGCAGGTCTGGTGGTGGAAACCTCGCCTTGGGAGTCAGGCCCCAAGACTTAGTGAGAGATTGGCTGGAGCTTGGGACATGTTCAGGCCCCTTTGACTCTAAAGCCCCTACCGTCTATTCCAGGAAGCTCTATTGCTCCAAGAGCTTGCCTCCCCCTGGGCCCGTTGGAGCTTTTCGAGAGGATCAATTGGTCATCAGGATGTGCTGTGGGCACCTGGCTGTCCAAACATGGCCTCTGGTGGGGATAGGATTTGTGCAAATAATGAAGACCAACTAGATGGGGAAAGCAGACCTCAGACTTGCCCTAGCTTCCTACCATGCTGGCAGAGACTCAAAGGCAGGCAGGAGAGCGAAAGCTTTATAGTGGCTTTGGAAAGGAACAGCTTCCGGTGTGCTTCTAGTGGGGGCTGCTGGCATGGAGAAGGTGCAAGCACTGAGTCTGATGGGTCGCTTGCTTCACCCACGGTGCTCAGTAAGGTGCAGATCCATGGGTTGTGTACTAGACGTGCCGGATGAGAACCCCAGTTGTTCTTCAGCCCCCAGGGTTGAAGGCCTCTGCTCCAGTCTCAATGCTCTGGCTGAGCCCCCACCTGGGAGCTGCCTACCCTAAACCAGAATTCCCACAAGTGGTTGAAGGAAAGAATTGCTTGTGGGGAGGAGTGGAGGAGATGCTGTCTCTGGAGGGAAGGAACTGGCATCTGCAAAGGACCTGGCAGCCCTGGTGGTGGTTCCAATGATTCGGCAGTTTGAGAAGCTGCGCTGCTTGCTCCTAGCCGAGCTCCGGGGAGGATGGCAGCGTCAGCTGCGCACAGCACTGTCAGGGTCGGTGTTTCTGAGCGAGGGACAATGTGGAGGCTGTTTGGTCATCATTCCTGGAGTCTGTTCAGGAAGTGGTCTGGTTTCCAGCATCCTGTCACCCAGTGTTTCAGTGAATGGCTATCACATTGGAAGGTTTTTTTTTTGTTTTAATCATGGCTTTGTAATTACCTCTCTGTGGGTTGACAGCTGTTATTAGCATCACCTTGGGTTCTCCTTGAGAATTTTTACATCCAGAAAGTGATCCAGCACCTTTGGGACTGGTGTCAGAAGCTGTTAGCTAAACAATAGCTTTCAAAAGTCACCAGGTTTTGTAAACACAGCCAATCCTGTCCCCTTCCGAAGAAGAAAAAAAGATAAATAATTTTCATGAAGGCAATTTGTTTCCCGGGGTCTGTATTTCCTCTGTCTCCTCCACAGGCTTTCACCACTCTGGGGCATTGCAATAAAGTCAGCACGGGCTCTGAAAGGAGGCTGCAGCTGCTGTTGCTGGGGGATTTCCACCTGGAAGCCACTGCAGGGGTTCACGGCAATGAGGAGCAAAGATCTTTTGGGGAAAGATTTTTCTTTATTTTCCCTTAAGGCCAGAAGCAGTTTGGCATGTGTGTGTGTGTGTGTGTGTGTGTGTGTGTGTGTGTGTGTGTGTGGGTGGGTGGGCG